TTAGAAACTCTAAAGTATAAAATGAATCTATCCACTTGATTGTATCACTTTCAGTTTTCGAATAATTTTCAATAATGAAAACTAAATGTTTTCTTTTCTTTTTATGACAATTATAAAAGAAAATAAACATGAATTGTACATAGTAAAAAAAAATTTGCTACTAATTTTTAAATATTGAATATGTAGATTAAAGCTAAAATTGATTCATTATTAAATATTTATGTTAAATCTGAATGTATTGAAAATATAATAATAGTAATCAAATCATAATTAGTTAAGATATAATTTAATAAATGTTATTATTCCGCGTTCTAATAGTAAACTTTAAATATTAATGTTTCCTTCATTATTCTACATTTTACTTTTCTCTCTCCTTCGTTTCTTCTCTTTTTCTTTTTCTTTTCATCATAAAAGCGGAATTACTGTGATTAGGTATGCCGCGAAGATGAACAACCATCGTTGCGGTTACTCCATTGTATTTTAATGTACACGAGGAGAGCAACGAGGAAACGGATAATTATAATAATTTCCAACTTTAGTTGGCGGTTTCAAAAGTTCATTCGGCTGGAAAGGAACTATCTATAATGCCAATCAGATTCCTCCATACAGATAAAATCACAGCAATTTTTACCATAATTGATAATAATTTTTGATCAAGATAGTAAACAGAATAAAAATTCTATCGATTTTTATAGCAAAACAAAATTCCAGTTATGTCAAGAATGTCAAACGAAAACATATTTTTTCCAAACGCTCATGTTTATGTTAATACATTTGATGATGAATCTGCGTTTTTAAATATTGCAATAATTGTGAATTTATCTAATAAATAGTTTGAAGGAAATTTTCTTACCTTCGCAATGATCTTTGATGCTTCAATAACACACACACAATAACACGAAAGCGAATAAAATCTAATTTTGTTTATTAATTCCATAACAACGTACAAATTACGTGCATTACCAAATTACCAATAACAAAGTTTTCGATTACTTTTGAACTAATAAATAGCCAATGAACTAATAAATAGAAAAAATAGAACTAAAAATAAATTCCTTAGTTACTTTTCATTAAATTATATTGGCATCATTTTTATAAATAAATGATGTACGTATAATAATGTCATATAAATAAAATTACCAATTTAACAAAAAATAAAGTTTTTTTTTTAGTTTCATATTTATTTGAATTTTGAATATTATTAAGTAAAATCTGAATATAGAAATAATGACTACATACAAATATTTGCTAAAAATAAACTTCAAATAATATCTAAATGCTATTGTTATGCAATATCAAAAAAAAACAAAGTTTTGAGTAACTTTAGCTTTTGGATATTGGTATTCATTTAGTGAAATGCAAAAATAAATTAAAGAATCACAAACAACTAGTGCATTTTGTAGTCTTAAATCGCACACGAATATTTCTATTGTCTAAACCGATTCGATTCTTTCTTTGTTTCAGAACGTCGCATTCCCATAGATGTCGGGAAAAGGCGAACGCATTTCCATGTGTCCGAGACTGTTTGTTACATAACGACGCACGCCGGTCATACTCATGAGCAGGTACGATGACGTGAGACGACTTTTTATATACATTTTTCTCATCTATACTTTTTTTCATTCCTATTTATAATGAGGGATATTTAATTAAGTAAATAATTTATCCACTCTGCTTTAATTAAAGGTTTCTTTTCGCTAATCATCAATTAAGCTGACATTTCATTAAAGTGCAAAAAGGGTTCGCCGTCGAACCTTGAGATGAGAGATGAAATAAAAAAATGTATGGAAAAGTCAAATCGCATATCCTCAAAAGTGCATCTCCGAAGCTGCAACATTCCCAAGGTTTAATTAATTAAAAAGTTAATTAAATTTATTACTAATCATCATCAAGTAATCATTATTAAATGCAATTTTATTAAATTGTCATCACCATAGTAACGCTGTCAATGTTTTGACATTTTTTTTTGTTTGTTTTTACTTTAAACTTATCGTTAAAATCATTGATATTTTTGGTGCATATATAAATATAAACATAAACGTTATCACAAGTGTTGATTCATATTTATGCAATCTTAATTGATCGAAAATATTGATATTTATAAGTATTAATTATTATTTGTGTTTGATAATGAATGTATTTTCGTCGCGTGCGTTGATAAGTCAAAATTGGAATTGTCATGGAAACAACGTCGACAATAAATGTCAGATGCTGTATGAAAAACGGCAGGTTAAATTTGACATTTAAAAATGTAAATTCGGCGCTGCAATCTAAATGTCATTGAATTGCATTAATCACGCATTGTAATATAAGGAAATGGATTACAAATGAATTTCAATGAAATATACACACGTATATTTACCTCGATTTACTTGTCTTCAATTGTTTTTATTTTCATTCCTCAATGAAAACAAAAGCAATTAACGCGAACGACCTTTACGGAAATTACCTGAAACAGAACAAAAATGAATTATTTTAAAACCCAGAATGCAGCACTTTTACGACGATTCTGAAATCAATTCAAACAAATGTTTTCTCTCTAATTTTCGTTTTTGATATATTAAGCAAATATAACAAAAAAAAATGAATTTGATTGATGGAATCACCAAGGTTATTTAACAAAGATTTGTAAACGTCAAAAGCTAATTTGTAGCTGTGATCTAAGAAATTAATCGCAGAAATGATTACCAATTAGTTTGAAACTTTGATTCTTCAATTTGCGAAATGTCAAGTTTGTACGATAACTAGATTCAATTTTGCTTCTAAAATCCCATTGTAAGTATAATTTCGTAACTAAAGGTTAACAACTTCAGCAGCAAATAATCTAAATTATTATTTAAATCTCTTTATTATTTTTACAAATTTTATATTCAAATTCCTTCACTTTGTTTGATCTTTTTTTAAGGAAGAATTTATGCAATTTTGAAATACTTCAAAACAAATAGTTTACACAAATAAAGAGGTTTGTTTGATCTTTGAACAGACGTAAACTTATTAAATTAATAATCGACAAATAAAATGCATTATCTTTTATTTTGTATGTGTGTGTGTTTCACTTATTAGTAGATACAAATAACGATTAGATATCTGTCATGCATCTGTCAATGTCATTTAAATTGAAACAATTGCTCTTACTTGTTTTGTTTACATTTATTTACTTTGAAATTTGCAAAAAAAAACTGAAAATTTGAAAAAATATTTTCTGAAACAAAGCGATCTCAAAGTTTTGATTACTCCAATTTATTAGTTAGATAATTATAAGTAAATATACAAAATTTTATTAATTTATGTTGAATGGTTTAAGAGATATTTACATTTTTCGATTTGAAATTAATGTACAAACATTTTCTTCAATATAAAATCATAATTTCTGAAATCCTCCATGGATTTTTATAAATAAATATTCATATAAAATGGGATTTCATTGCAAGTAAATTAGAATAAAGAAACTAGAAATAAATCAGTACTTGAAAAAGTTGGATGGGTTTGAAATGAGAAAATTTGAAAAATTATTTTTTGAAACAAAAGCGATATCAAAGTATTGATTACTCCAATGTATTAGTTAGATAATTATAAGTAAACATGTAAAATTTTATTAATTTCTATTGAATGGTTTAAGAGATATTTACATTTTTCGAATCGAAATTATTGTAAAAAAATTACTTCAAAATAATTCTTCGATGGATTCTTATAATTAAATATTCATAAGAAAACAGGATTTCAATGAAATTCATTTAGATTAAAGAACTAAATTTTCAATTGAAAATGTAAATTGTGTTTGATTGAATTGAAAATCTATGTGTTTGTGATATTATTTTTAACTTGAATTAATAATTTAATTAAAGAGAAGACACGCAAAAAGCGGATTGAATAAATTTTCAGAGTAAGGAATGAAGATTAATTATGCGTTTGATTGGATGCAATCTCTTCGCGTTTTTTTTACTGCATTATGAAGATCGTCGTCTGGGTAATTTTCTTCAGGTGACTTAATTAAATCGAGTTTGTATGTAATCGATTTAATTAAGGTAAAAAATGAAGGAGAAAATAAGAGTTATTTGAATTTGCATCTCTGCGATGATCGATCGGAATATCTCAGACTGGAAATGAGAGGACGGCTCAACGACCATCATCACCGGTCTTCGGCGCCAGCAATCCTTCTCCGACAAGAACAAAAAAAAAGACACACAAAGATGCGGAGACGACCGTCCGCAAGTATAAGAAGAAGAAGAAGAAGAAGAAGTACGCCCCTGGATTCTTGAACGTGAACTTGATGCCATTTACCTCCGCCGATGCCGAGGCCGTGGGCCCCTCCTCATCACTCGCTCTCTTCCTCACGCTCACTCGCGCACTCCATCCACACAACCTTTCTAATAACCACCTCTGTGACCACCTTCTTTCCACTCTTGTTTTTTCTTCTTCTTCTTCGTTCACCTCTTCGCCTGTCGTGCCTCCAGACGACGACGACACTTCCATGCGCTTCACCTCTTTCCTTAGAGAACAAAAAAAATACATCAACATCATCATCTGCAAAACCACCGACGATTCTTCCACCACAATTTCGATTCAACAACCACCGCGACTTCCGAGAAGTGGAGGCCGCAAGGAAGGAAATGAAACAATGAAGAACGAAATAATAAATATAAAAGGAAGAGGAAACGTGCATCGCTTAATATGCAACGTTCGTACAAAAAAAAAAGCAAAAGTTTTCTTTATTTGGAAATATTTTGTTTCGAAATATTGATGATTCTGAGCAGCCCTTTGTGAAGCAGTGAGAAGTGGTAACTCCACCACCGTTGGCGTGATTTTTAAAGAGAGCCAGCGGTTGAGGAGTTCCTCAATCTCGCAGCCGGACAACGCTGTCAACTGTTGCTACCAGCATTTTGTTTTTTACGAAACCGACTAGATTTTCGGGGGGAAAACCTGCGGTTTCCGTGACGTTTGGTTTTTGTTTTCGGTTTCTCCGTAGGAAACGAAACGACGGGAAATCACTCGCTGCGTGGAGATGATCCCAACTGCGAGCTACGTTTTCGCATCATTCCGACTGCAACTTTCATGGTGAGTTTAACGTAAATGTTATTATTTCTATATTTTCGTTTGCACTCGTTTATTATTACTATTTGCGTTTTAATTGATAACGCACGCACTCGTGCGATAAGCTAATCACTTGATCCTCGCCTATCTCCGCCGCAATACTCCTAATCCCTAACGATTATTGTTACGTGACGGCACAAAACGCGACGCGATTTTCATACAAATGAATCAAAATCGTCGCACTTTATCCTTTGATCTCAATCTTACATATTAAATTAGTCATTTTCATTAATATTATTTCTCTCAGTCTAATTTAAAATAAACAAAATAAAAATATATCAATTTTTGAGAAAGTTAGACAAGATTGAAATGAGAAAATTTCAAAAATTATTTTTTAAAACAAAAGAGATCTCAAAATTTTAATTAATCCAATTTATTCTTTAGGTAATTATAAGTAATCGTACAAATTTTTACTAATATTTGTTGAATGGTTTAAGAGATATTTAAATTTTCCGAATCGAAATTAATGTCCAAAATAAAATTATAACTTTTGAATGCCTCAATGAAATTTTATAATTAAATATTCAAATAAAACGGAATTTCACTGAAAGTAATTCATATTAAAGAAATTAAAAATAAAACGCTAATTAAAAAAGTTATAAAGGTTTGAAATTAGAAAATTTGAAAAATTATTTTTTTAAACAAAAGAGATCTCAAAATTTTAATCAATCCAATTCATTCTTTAGGTAATTATAAGTAATCTTACAAATTTTTACTAATATCTGTTGAATAGTTTAAGAGATATTTACATTTTCCGAATCGAAATTAATATCCAAAATAAAATCATAATTTTTGAATTCCTTAACGGATTTTTATAATTAAACATTCATATAAAACGAAATTTCACCGAAAGTAATTCCGATTATAGAAACTAAAAATAAAACGCTATTTGAAAAAGTTAGATAGGTTTGAAATTAGAAAATTTGAAAAAATATTTTTTGAAACAAAAGAGATCTCAAAATGTTAAACAATCCAATTTATTATTTAGGTAATTATAAGCAATCTTACAAATTTTTACTAATATCTGTTGAATAGTTTAAGAGATATTTAAATTTTTCGAATCGAAATTAATGTCCAAAATAAAATCATAACTTTTGAATGCCTCAACGGATTTTTATAATTAAATATTCAAATAAAACGGAATTTCACTGAAAGTAATTCAGATTAAAGAAATTACAAGTAAAACGCTAATTGAAAAAGTTAGATGGGTTTGAAATTAGAAAATTTTAAAAATTATTTTTTGAAACAAAAGAGATCTCAAAAATTTAATCACTCCAATTTATTCTTTAGGTAATTATAAGTAATCGTACAAATTTTTACTAATATCTGTTGAATATTTTAAGAGATATTTAAATTTTTCCAAAGAAAATTTCAAAAATTATTTTTTGAAACAAAAGTGATCTGAAAATTTTAATTACTCCAATTCATTCTTTAGGTAATTGTAAGGAATCGTACAAATTTTTGCAAATATCTGTTGAATAGTTTAAGAGATATTTAAATTTTTCGAAAGAAAATTTCAAATTTTTTTTTTTAAACAAAAGAGATCTGAAAATTTTAATTACACCAATTTATTCTTTAGATAATTATAAGTAATCGTACAAAATTTTATTGAAATTTGTTAAGTTTTTTGAAAGATATTAAGAAAAAAAAATAATGCACAACTCAATTCTGGAAACAGTAAACTAAATATTAAAAGTCCATATACAATTTAATACACATCTTAATGCAATGATTTATTGCGTTTCAAACTATTACTTAATTGCAAATTCATAATAATATTGTCCATTTATTCTCTTTTTTTAATCAATTACTTACGTATTATTTACATAAATAAATAAACTGTCTATATTTAAATGATTTACTTTTGTTTTGCAATACAAATAAAAACTAGAAAACTATTTATAAACTAACTTTTTTTTGTAATCCATTAATATTCATTATATGTTATAATTACTTACGTATCATATGCAAATGTATAAATTATATATTAAATAATTCCAATTCAAAAAAAAAAACTTGTAACAAAAAATCTTAGACAATTATCAAATACTTACAATTACAGCATTTGCTCTATAGATTAAAACTATATAGCAGGATTTGCGAAACATTGAAGAGGTGTTTCCAGATTTTATCAATTTCTCATTGTTTGTTATTCGCATTTAAATTGAAATTTATTACGTGAAAAAACGAACATGTTCGCATCTATTTTCATTGAATTATCATTACTTATTGTTATTGTTTCCAATTTGATATTTGTAAAAGAGAAACACACAATAATTGAAAACTGTTTGTATAAATAAATTGAATAATTGCAATAACATGAAAACGCGAAGATCGCTGAAGATTTTCCAATACTACGTGACATTCCCCATGTTTATGTTAACAATAATATTTTCCAATTTTCATTACATGCTGGATCTACGTGTTATTTTTGTTATTCAAGGTTTAAAAGTATAAATAAATTAAGATAGAATGAAGAAATGTAAGGTTTTAGTTGTCAAAAAAATTGGATAAAAATTTGTCATTTTTGGTAAAACTTACTCTAGATTTGTAATTCTACTAAATCTCATTTAATTTTATATAATTCAAAGAATTTGGATTAATTGAATTTCATAAACTTAATCTTCACACACGTTGCTTAACTTTGCTGTCAAAACTGTCAAAGTTGTCAAAAATGTTAATGTCAAATGTTACAATTAATTTTTTTTTAATTTGAATTTTAAATTTGCTTTGTTTTTCTGACAACGAGATGAAACTGGATAAATATATAAATAATTTAGCGTATATTTTTAGAAATTCGCTGCATATAAATAGATTTTTTTTATTGAATTTAAATAACTTCAAAAATGCAGATGCAATTCTTAAGTTATTCATCAAATAAAGTTTAAAATTTTAAAAATTAACATATTCAAACATTCTTATAAGATTCTTGAATGAATGTGAATCTGTAATTTTCACATCAATATATTGTGGATTGTGTAAGGAAATGACCTCTAGTTTCGTTTACAGTACAATTGTATCCAGGTATTCTCGACGTTTAGCATAAAGTACGTAAGTGAACATGCAGCACGGATTATGCAACATTGAAACAAAGTCGATTACAAAAGAAAAAAAATATATAAAATAAATAAACATAATTTAAACGCTCCATAATTGTTTACAAAGTAAGGTTCTTTATTGCACAAGTTTAATTAATTCATTAAATGCATATCTATCTGCCCTCACGAATAATTAAGACATAATTTACACGCGTTTCTAATGCCTACCGAATTCCATTTAGTTTTACTCGTCTCCTAGCAACAATACCTCACAAACTTTAAGATATCTGACTTTCGAATTATGACAGATGTCACCTAAAGTTTTACTCGTCTCTTAGCAACAAAAACTTAAAGACATCTGACTTAAGCATTATGACAGTTGACACCTATTGTCTCGTAGCAATAAAAATCTCATAAACTTAAAATTTTCTGATTTTCGCATTTTGACAGATATCTGCTATAGTTTAGCTTGTCTCATAACAAAAAAAACATTCATAAACTTAAGGTTATATAACTTTCGCATTATGACAGGTGTCGCCGTTAGTTTTACTTGTCTCGTAGCAATAAAAATCTCATAAACTTAAATTTTTTTGATTTTCGCATTTTGACAGATGTCTTCTATATAGTTTTGTCTCATAACAAAAAAAAACATTCTTAAACATAAGGTTATCTAACTTTCGCATTATGACAGATGTCACCGTTAGTTTTACTTGGCTCGTAGCAATAGAAACCTCATAAACTTAAAATTTTCTGATTTTCGCATTTTGACAGATATCTGCTATAGTTTAGCTTGTCTCATAACAAAAAAAAAACATTCATAAACTTAAGGTTATCTAACTTTCGCATTATGTCAAATGTCATAAAGTCAAAACTTTATAAACTTAAATTTATCTGATTTTCGCATTACGACAGATGTCACCGTTAATTTTTCTCATCTCCTAGCAACAAAACTTCGTAAATATTTTATTCTTTTCGATCGAATTAAACAAAAGAACTATAAGACATCTGTCAAATGACAGATGTCACCGTGAGTTTTCCTTTTGCGAGGTTTCGACGTGGCAGAAGGCCCCGAAACTCCACCATCTGTCAAGTTGAGATAGCATTTATGTAATACCACCGCGCGTGTGTTTGTATATATGTATATATAATTTATTTTTTTCTTCCTCGCTTCTCCTTCTGTCCATTTCCATCGACGATTTCAATGCATTTCATGATTTATGTATAGTTTAAAAGTCAGCGAACGTTATTGAATGCTATGCAAATACGTATGTAATTGTTGTATTGTGTGTATGTGTGGAGGCAAACCTTGCAACTTGGAAACCTGCACAGTTAATAATGTGTGTGTATGTTTCCAATTTGTATTTATTGTGGAACATGTGGAACTTCTAAAGCCCATTACAACATGAATTTTAGTTCATTGATTTATAATATTTTACTAATTGGAAACTCCATAATCAAGATTAATGTTACATTTACTTGAAGCGACTGTTGTTAATAAATGAAACGATTCTATTTTATATCAATAAAAATTGTAATTTCTTTAGTTTTTAGTAAATATTTCGATAATGCTTTACAGAAATTGAGATTACTTTGTTTTTATTAAATAAGTAAATTGACACGAATATAGAAATTTTACAATTTTTTAAAAATTATAATTGGGATAGATATTATTATTTATTAGAGAATATCTCGACAATTACCAATAGTACATTAATGATTAAATAATCAAATGAAAGCTAAAACTATGGGAAATAAGATGTATCAAGTGATCTAACTGTAAATGTCATGAAATTGATGCAAAATACATCTATAATTTGGTTAATAAATATTGAGATGACTTTGGTTTTCAGTGGATATCTCAATAAGTACTAATAACAAATAAATGATTGAATAATCAAATTACAGTTTAAACTATAGAGAATAAAATAATTAAATGAAATTATATGATGTTTGCATAATTCTATGTTAAATTTGACTTATTTAAATTGTCATGTCATTAGAAAACATAGCTTTAAATTTTATTGGATATCTCGATAATTACTAATCATACATTTATAACTAAATAATCAAATTAAAGCTAAAACTAAGGAGAATCAAATGCAATAAAAGAAATTATTCAAATTGAAACGAATTTTATGTTATGCGAAGTTAAAATTGAGATATCAAAAATTTCATTTATAAATTGTTATTTAACGGTTGAATGAACTATCTAGAAGAATCAATGCGCGTTTTATCTGTGCAGATCGATCGAGTTTATCGATATTGTTCAAGCGTGAACGCGATTTAATTAATTCCATAATCCCATCTATTAGCTTAATTAGTGCGAAGGAGTTCTCGCATTCCCTCGTTCTCTCAATTATTCATCGCACCTTACGTCACGTCACATGCATTATTTATCTAATAAACAATTCTAATCGCTGCATTTCTATTGAAAACGAAACACAAACATCCAATTTACTTTGTCGGTGGTGCATTGACCGTTTTTTTTTTGTTGAAACGAAGATGTATTGACTTGAAGATTGCATTTTATGCAATTTAATTAAATTGCGTAACTCTAGTCTGATTTAGGTAAGTTTAAATTGAAAAGATATAAATAGAAAAGTTTACAAAGTAATCTATATAGTTTTGAGTAATCCACGATTATTATTAAGTTATAATCGTGGATGTAAATAAAGTTTATCGATAAGAATTCACGCGTTTCTGTTGATCTGCGAATTATTCGTTTTGAGAGAGAGAAAAAAAAAGGCAAATTCCAAAATCGAATCCCAACCTTTGTTTGCCGCTTATCTCGAGTGCCTCGAGTAAACGTAATAATAACGCAACGAGAGGGATAGAGATGTTATCTGGACGTGGCGACAATAATACGTAATGTGTGTGTGTATTTTATAATAGTGGAGAACGCGCACAACGATACACGGATAAGATGATCGAAGATCGCCTGTGAATCAATTGTTTGTGGGAAGGATGTGATGGATGGCATCTGCGATCGAGTTTACTTGCCCTCTCTGCAGGATGGCGCCGATCTGAAGGAGTATCTGAATGGGTGAGTTCGTTTGCAGAGTTTCTCAAACCTTTGAATCGCGTTAACGCGTAATATATTGAGTCTCATAACATTTTGAATGACAGCTGTCACATTACGTCAAAAAAGTTATGTCATAAACAATGCAGTTACAAACAAATATGTTGAGAGTCTTGAGTTGACACAAAACGGTTAAGAGACGCTGGTTTATTGGACTCATCTGAAAAATCGTTTTCATATCGAGAAAACATGAGAGAACTTTAATATTTAAAAAAAAGGAGCAATTAGAAAGGAAAAACCTGTTCGTTCGTCGCCTCCTCTCGTATATATTATTTTTTATTCTTGTAATTTATCTGTAGTTTCGTCCTCTTGGAAGACCGGACATTTCATTCTTTACTTTTTTTTTTCTTGATGATTGTCGATGAGCCAGAAGAACCAGATCTGCCGTGTAATCAACATGCATAATGAATTGTCTATAAGTTCGCTTCTCTCCGGAGTCGCGTCAAGAATAATTCATAAACCTGATGAAGAGGTGGTGGTGGTGGTGAGGAGGAGGTTTCGTTCCCAAGGTTACCAATTTGCCTCATCCAATCTAGTCTGCTTCAACAATTTGTTTCCAGATTGATAATGAATGACAAGTAAATTGTCGCTACTTTTTTTAAATTATGATTACATGCATTATGTTAATAACTGAATAAATACAACATTAGAATTCTGTATTCTTCAATATTAAACTTTAATGTTTTCGGAGTTGGCTTTCGAAGTTGTTCAGTTGTTACGATTTTCAGTTGTTTCAGTTTCTTGACGTTCAGTTGTTTACGTTTCTAAGATAAACAAATGGTAATGAAACAAGTTAAATAACAATTGAATTATTATTATTATTATTCACTCTTTTCTCAAGACATAATTCAAGAAAATCGATTTTGTTACAGAAGTTATGTAATCAAAATTATTAAATTATACATTATTGTCGTCATTATCTAATCATTTTGATACTTTTTGTGACAATTATATTAAACAATAATATTAAACTTTAACGTTTTCGGAGTTGGCTTTCGAAGTTGTTCAATTGTTACGATTTTCAGTTGTTTCAGTTTCTTGACGTTCTTATATCAGTTGTTAACGTTTCTAAGATATACAAATGGTAATGAAACAAGTTAACATAACAATTGAATTATTATTATTGTTCACTCTTTTCTCAAGACATAATTCAAGAAAATCGATTTTGTTACAGAAGTTATGTAATCAAAATTATTAAATTATACATTATTGTCGTCATCTATCTAATCATTTTGATACTTTTTGTGACAATTATATTAAACAATAATATTAAACTTTAACGTTTTCGGAGTTGGCTTTCGAAGTTGTTCAATTGTTACGATTTTCAGTTGTTTCAGTTTCTTGACGTTCTTATATCAGTTGTTTACGTTTCTTAGATAAACAAATGGCAATGAAACAAGTTAACATAACAATTGAATTATTATTATTCTCTCTTTTCTCAAGACATAATTCAAGAAAATCGATTTTGTTACAGAAGTTATGTAATCAAAATTATTAATTTATACACACTCATATACCATATTTCGACTACTTTAGACAATATTGCATTATTTAAATCTATTGTCGCCAATTTTTATCTAATCATTTTGATACTTTTATGACATTTTATTATTTTGAAATATTTAAAATAATTAGAAAACCTGTTGAATTTTCCTTATTTCGAATTTTGAAATTTGGCAGATACATCCAACGCGAATTCCCCGATGGTAGAAATGCCGTATACAGCGTGCCAAAGAGGTTCCGTCGTTTCGGCGAAGAACAGGCGAGCCTCGCCGAAGAGATCACCTTCAAGAGACTGCACGGCCTCAACGAACTCGACGACCTCTGGTTGCTCTTCGTCCACAACGTCTCATACGGCGGTAGATCCAGCAAGACCATCGGCAAGCTGAAAATTAGGGAGCACGATTTCGTCCTCTTCATCAGAAGCTCAGGTAAGCTGAAACGAATTCTTCGTGTAATTGTTGTTGCATTACAATTTTGTCTGCAGGCAAATTCCATGTGGCTCTGATCGAGGTCAAGTCCACGCATGACAGCAACACGCAGATCCCCGATTTGTCCATCATCAGCTACGCTAAGGTCATCAAGAACAACAAGAGATCGGCGATGCACCAGCTGCAAGGTCACTGCGAGATCTTGGAGTCGCTGATGACTGAGTCCGTGCAGAGCATTCAACAGTACATCTTTTGGCCGTTCCTCGGTGCTTTGACCACCGACCCAAAGCACACGGTTATCGAGCGTTGGAAGGAGGATAGAAATCTGCACGTCTTCGAGAACGTTCTCACCAAACAACACCTCTTCAACGAATGGTTCCTTAGCAACGTCCTAAATGGAGCTTCGTTGCAAGAAGACAACTTTTTAAAATTAATGAACAGGTAAATTGAAAATCCCTAAAATTCAATAACCCATTTATCGTTTTCTTCAGGTATTTAGTGTTAAGTTGCGGCTTCTTCGTGAACGAAATCCGCGACGGGCTTTTGGCACTCCTCACGCAAGAGCAACTGCAATTGTTAGATTCGGAACTGTGCCAAAAAACGGGAAAACCTCTGGTGGTGCACGGAGCCGCGGGAACAGGAAAAACTTGGCTCATCTTGAGGAAGCTGCAGATGCTTCATCAAACCGGAAAACTGAATAAACAGAATAGGGCCTTGTACATTTGCTATTGGCCTGGAATCAAGTAATGCCTAACACTTCTTTATTTAATTATAACTATAGTTTAATATTGATTTTTTTAGATGCGAAGTTGAGCAGAAGCTGAAGACTTTCGGTTTAGGCGAATTCGTTGATACTGCGCGTTTCTACATCTCTCAAACTGGTTTTCTTCTGAGGAACAATAAACCGTACAAGCACATCTTCATCGATGAAGCGGAGGTCACCTGTTTGGTCTTCGAGAAGATCATCATGGAGAGTATGTACACCGTTATTTACGAGAGGTACCACGATGGGAACTGCGATTGCCGATATAAAAATATCGGTGACGAAGATATTCTGAAGAAGCACGATTCGAAGGATTGGGGCGAACTTTGGTTCTTGGTGGATATAAACCAGGCGTCTCTTTTCCTCCCCAAACACTCTCCCAACATCCTGAAGACGCCGCACATAGTCCTCTCCAAGGTGATGAGAACCACTGGTAACATCTTCGACGTCTTCAAGCAGTTCTACACGTTACCGATGCCCTCACTTCATTCCTCCATATTATCTCAAGTGAGCATCCCCGACATTCGCTTGGGTCACCACGTGCTGGGTCCTCCCATCTATTGGATAGATTCCGCAGAGTCCGCTGAACCTTTGATCAAAGTTATTATTGATATGTGCTCAAGCAAAGGGTTCAAACCGAACGACGTCTGCGTCTTACCGTTCCTCACCAACGACAAGTACACCCCGGAGAAGATAAACGATGGCATCGACAAGTACTTCGTGCAGAACGGCTACAGACCGAAGTGCGTTTACGACGTGGAGACTTTCGTCTGCGATCGCGAAGCGAATCAGATACTGGTCTGCTGGGGTCTGCGCGTGAAGGGTCTAGAGTTCAAAGTGGTCATCATCGCCATGGACGATGACGATTTCGATGTTAAAGACAGCGAAGACCGCAAGAAGTTTTATATCATGGCCTCGAGGTGCACCTGCCTGCTGGTCCTCATCTCGCCGCAACTCTACGTGGAGCAGCTCGGACTCCAACACTCAGTATGCGATTACCCCTTCGGAATCGACTTCTAAAAGTTTCATTGTGATATCCAATTTGTATAGTGAGATTAGTACATTAAGAACAAAACATATTATATTGAAATCTTTAACATAACTCTTGATACATCAATAAAACATTCTGTGTATTGTTTCATACAAGAATTTGCATTTGATTAATTAATTTGTGCCAGGTTCGAACTAGCACCTTCGTGTCAGATTATATAAAGTTATAAACTTTAAAACAGAAGCAGTTGGCTGCACTTGTACTGCATCGGCGTGGGTTCGCTCTTTTGTCTTTCAATCTTCATGGCGTTAGCGTGCGTTCCCGTTTTGAATATTCAAAATTGCCATGAAAAATGCTGCAAATCCAGAGAATTATCCTGCATTCCCTGAAATCCATCACCGGAGAACACAGAACAATTCGAATTCAGCAATTAGCAGTGAGTAATTAATCCAATTCTTCATTTATAAGTATAACTTTTTTCATTGTCATAAAAGCGTCATCATTAGTTTTTAGTTCAGCCATTTTGGCGCTGCTAAAAATTTTGTTTAAATTAAAATTAAATTGCAATTACATTCGATTTGGTATAATAATTTTGTAAAAGTTTGTATTTAACAGTGTTATATAATGTATATGTACTACACAGATAAATTACAATTAATTATTTCTATTCCCAATCCGTATAAAACAATTTCCAACGATTTTTCACTCCTGAAAACTTCGATGCCTTTAGCATCTGAAATGGTTGAGTTATAAACACCCGCGTACCGTACCAAAATTGTACCATTCAATATATCATACTTAAAGATGGTAAGCTTCTGGTCCAAAGACGTTGCCATAAAGTATTCCTCGTCCAAGTAAACTCCACTCACTTGCGCCACATGAGTTCCATCATTGGAGTAATCGGAAATCGTTTCCAAACCCAACTCATTTTCGTTCCTAACAATTTTAAAAAGATTCATCGTCAGAGCGTTATCGTCTCCTCCGGTTAAAAACAGGAAGATGTCTTCATTCATCTTTCTAAAAGCGAAACTGTTTATACCCGAAATATGTGCTTTAATTTCACCGAACTTGTATCCAGTCTTCAAGTCCCAAAACACCAAATAACCATCCGTAGCCATGGAAACAACAATTGTTTCATCTTCGTATGTTAACAGCGTGACCTTAAGAATACACTTCAGTTTGTATTCCAAGGTTTTCGCAAGCTTCAACTCGTCGTTTTGCATAGAGTAGATCTTGATTTTACCATCTGAACAGGCAGCGAACAGCAAAACTTCATCGTTTATCTTCGCGGAGCACAAATCCATGACCCGCACTTCAGACAAATTGCTGTCGGCCTCGTAATAAGAGAAGAGTTGGTTGCAGATGTTCTCCTTGTTGAAATCCAATTGCCAAAGGATGATCTGTCCTCTTCCTCCTGCAGAAAACAGGAAACATTTCGATTCATCCTCGAGCTGGTACAAGTTTAAGCATCTAATGCTTGATAGATGCGACTTCAGCACGTCGATGTTCTCAAAGTTTTGTCCATCGTATTTGGCAATCCTCAGAGTGGTGTCTTCGCCGCCGCTCAAAGAGTAAATGCATCCATCGCGTTTCAAACATCTCAACGAATTTATTTCGTTCACATGAAAACCTTTGATTATATCGCGAGAATTGATACAACTCCATTCTGATTTAATCACATTTATCGTTTTATTCTTGATGTAGACGTATTCGAATTTGCTGTGCTTTGGATTGAAGTCCCACGACCTGTGACCTCCGCCGCAGCCCAATTGCAATACGACACGTCTAGTTTTGTAGTCCCAAAGGACGAAATCGTTTCCTGAAAACGCTGTGATTATGCGTTTCTCTTGGACCATTGAGCATAACCACGTGAATGGTAATTTATCGCTAGTCAGCAACTCCAATTGCCTGGTGTGCGAATCAAGCTTAAACTTGCAAACTCTAGAATTTCTTCCGAGTGTTGTGAGTATACCTGAAGTACTATCGTAGTGTAAATTGGTGATTCCTAAATGATTGTGAGTGCGTTTGAAGGTCTGCATAGGATTGAGATCGTGAAGATCGTAGTAATGCAAGTTGCCTTTTCTGTCTCCAACCGCTATACCTTTTCCACAAAGGCAAGCAGCCGTTGACCATCTCTCTTTGATTTTCGGTAATTGCGATATATGCAAGAGTATCAGAGCCCCATTTTCGATCCTCCATAGATACAATAAACCGTCAATGCCGCAGGTTAAAATGTGCTTGCAGTTGAGCCAATGCAACGAGTACGTCCTATCCTTCTCAATTCCTCGATGATAAGCGGTTAGCTCCAATTTTCCATTGGATTCGTTCAATGTTATGACGCGGATGACTCCTTTGAAACCTTTTAAAATTTTCATTATTTAAAAAGAAAAGTTAATAATCTTAATCTCCAATTTGTTACCAGCCAAGGCGATCATTTTTCTGCAACTGGAGACTTCCAGAAGCGAATAGCTCTCGAATTCCTCGAAAGTCCACATCAATCGACACCAATCTGATTCGGAATTCATTTGATAAACACATCCCTTATCTGTAATTAACACGATATCGTTGTTCTCCAAGAGAACCAAGTGCTTCGGTGTAGCTTTCTCTTGGAATTCCAGATGATCGATCATCATCAACGGTTTTATGGGAAAAACTATCACTCCAGAATCTCCTCCACCTGTAACGATCATGTTCCTCTCTTCGCTGCAATCAACGGACCAAATTCGTCCGTTCTGATGAGCCTCGATCTTTCTCAACAGATTTCCATTCAAATCCCATACAATCAGGAAGCCGTCCTCACCTATCGAAACCACATGATTAGTTAACAGTTGACATCCGAACACGCGCGCCTTGTGCCCGTACATTCTCTTCTTCAATCTGATCTCTTCGTTCGTTTTTAAAACATCCTGCAATTCCCCATCGAATTGCCACAAAATCACCGAACGATCGTCCGACGTCGTGCATATTAATTCCATTCCAGGCACATGGTGTATCGAGAATAGAACTCCCTTAAACAAAAAATACAATAATTACATCAAAACACAACAGAAATATATAAATATTATTACATTATGCCCAGTCAATCTTCTCAAAACTTTGCACAACTCAGCCCCTTCATCAAAGCTCGGTTTCCAAATCAGGACTTCAGAGAAAACAGTCCCAGATAACACAACCAAATCCTCCCATCTGTTGTAACTAAGATTTGCACAGTACAAAATGCATCTTTCCTCGCAAACTATTGATTTCTTCAATTCCAAATCTTTTGTGTAGTATTCAATTACATTGTGCATTGAGATAGCAACTATATTCTCATCAGAATCAATCCATTTAGCTCTTAAAACCCAATCGCTGCTCTCCACACAAGCAATTTCCTTAAATTCCAAACTCTTCAAATCCATTGAATACACTTTAATCTGGTTCTCTGCATGCAATAACACTTTATTGCCACTTTCACTCAATTGTATTCCATATATCCTGACTCCATTAAACACTCTTAATTTATGCAATAATGATGAAGCCGTTTCATCTATACTGTACACATGTAGAAAAGCTCCAATTCCTAAAAACATATATAAAATTAATCTTCATAATAGCAATTAAACAAATTTTTAAAATATAATATAGGCAACTTGAATATCATCAATTATATAAAATAATTGTAAAATTTCATTAATTTCGTATAAACAAACAAAACAATTATTTTAAAAATATAATGATTCAAAATATTTGTTTTCATATTTGTTTGTTTTGGTAATTAATTAAATTCTGCACCTAACCTAAGATATTTTTTGAAACTGAATTAAAATGTTCTTGCTTACCGCATAATAAGTGGTTTTCGAGGAGTTTTATAGCGGTCACGTCCGTTTTAATTAGTTTTCCAGTAAACTTTACTAGAGCCATTTTAATTGTCGTCTTTGTTGTTATTGGAAGTTGAAAAACATTGTTGATGAAAATATGGTCAGAATGTGTTATTCGACAGCACAAGTATGGAACGTTATATACAGATCTCTTCCAAAAGTATAGTCAGCTGGCGCAGTTATCGAATCTTAATTCATGTGCAGCTCTGATTTGGTATCTGAAATGGTATTAACAATTGATTTTAATTTAACTCTTCATGATTCTAATGTTGTATCTTCAATCTATTCTTTAAAGTATTTATTGTAAACTTTTAATTAATTTAATGGTTTACAGTTAATGTTAAAAAGGAACAAGATATTTCTATAGATTTTTGGAAATCGTAAAATTAGTTTTAGGATTCTTATGAATGGAGGGTAAAAATAAAGTACAAAAAAAGGGGGGAAAGGGTGATTTAAAAATAGTTTGACAGCTCCGGTTTGGTCTGACAGAAAAGGCCTTGACTCGAATGCGGAGCGGTGCTTATTTTGCCATTGTTTTCTTCCACCTCTTCATCACCGATTGTTATCGGTATTCGTGCCGTGAGAATTTCGAAGATGATGACAAGTGTCAGATGATCTCCGGCAGGCGATTAAAGTTACGGTAAACCACTCTCCTATCCGTTGGGTCTGAAAGTACCTCTTGAGAATTCGGTGCTCCAGAAGGAAGAAGAAAGAGCAGACCATAATTCACAGATGATCGGATCTTCGTAGGCGGCGGAGTTTCGCTTGTTGGTTATGTCACAATATCATGTCCAGAGTGGGCTTTCTGTGATCTTATCCCAGTGAAGAAGGAAGTGCATGATCAAAGATGGTGGCAGCCAGTGCAGCTAACATTGAGGAGTTCCTCTCTGGACCCCTCGTCACTTGGGTAAGTTAACTTGTCTCCATGTATTTGGATGTTGATAATAATAAGATTGTTCCTGTTGCAGTTGAGTACATGTATTAAGAAACCAGAGTCACTGCAAGTGTATGAGACATTCTTCGATGGAAGCCCTATCAATGAGGTGCTTCTGCAGATAGATCCAGAGCCCTCCCATCCTGTGCCAGTCCTGATTAACCTGCAGGGTCTCAGTGTGACAGCTTCCAGGATAAAGATCTTCCACAGTATTATAAAGAACATCAAGACTATCTATGAAGCGGAATTGGGGCAGGTCGTGGTTGCGCTTCCGGATTGCGTGACTATTGGGCGATCGCCTTCCTCGCAGGAAGCTCTACAGCATCTGAAGTTGATCATACTGCTGTTGCTCGGTTGCGCCGTACAAGGACCGACGAAAGAGATCTTCATAGCCCGGATCAAAGAGCTCGGCTTAGATGTGCAGCACGAGATTGTCGAGTGCATTAAGCGGGTGACCGATGATCAGTCGGTTGTTTTGACGCTCGACTGGCCTAACCAGACGCCAGAGAAGCTGTATCTTCATCTGAGGGATCTGACGAACGAGCGAGATGCTCTGTTCCAGCATTGGGTCACCGACCTAGGCCAGGAGATGGGTCAAAGCAACGGCGACAAACATGGCTTGACTCCCACAGGCGGCAACCCCGAGGGCTTCGAGTCCAATCATTTAGCCGTTGAGTTAGCTGATTGGAAGGCAAGGCTACGGAAACAGCGACAGGAACTGTAAGTCCTAGACATTGCAATCAATGCAAACTAAGTATTATTTTCATATTTGCAGGGAGGAGAAAACGGAACTGCTCACAGAGTGCAAGGAAGAACTTGACCATTCGCAATGCATAATATCCAAGTTGAAAGCAGAGGTAATTATGCGAAGTTCCCATACTTTGAATGCATTTTCATTTGGTTGTTGATATTTCAGAACTGCGATTTGCTGACTGAAGCGAGGAAAGCCAAGGCCTACAGAGATGAAGTGGATGCAATGAGCGAGAAGGCTCTAAGAGTGGAGAAACTGGAAGCACAAGTGCAGCGGTATCGTGAACGTTTGGCTGACACCGATTTCTATAAGATGACGGTGGCGGAACTTAGAGAGGATAATCGCGTCCTCCTCGAGTCTCGAGAAACCTTAGAAGCGGATCTTGCCCGAGCCAGGCAGAAGGCCAATCGTTTATTGGAATTGGAAGCGGAGCTATTAGCTAGCAAGCAAGTGATAAACGACATCACATTGGTAACATTTCCTTCCCAATTATCATTATCAAATTATTTTAACAAGTGTTTTGTCTTCAGGAAAGAGACGCCGATAGGGAAAAGATGACCGATTTGATGGATGAGAATTTCCAGCTGCAACAGGTCACCAAATCTGCTTTGCAAGAAACGACGAACTTTAAGCTAACCACGGAAACCGATGAGGAGGAATCTGGTAATTCGGGAGATAACAGTTTATCGGAACAGTTGACAAACAATGCTCAAGCCAGAGCACTGAGGTTGGAATTGGAGAACCAGAAACTGTTATCGACCATAGATTCGCTTAAAGAGAACAACTTCCACGAGAATTCCAAGCGCATTTTGGACTTGGAGAAGGAAAAGAAAAAGCTTGAATTGAAGCAGGATCAACTTGTGGAGAGTTGCGAGCGCGTTAAGCAGCAGAACCGAGAACTGGAGGAGCTGTTCAGAGCGTCCATCCAAGAGAACAAGAAGCTACAAACGGTCATCGATACCAATAAAGTGAACTCTGATAAACAAACGCAGGATTTGCAAAACGAACGCATTAAAGTTGAGGAGCTCGAAAAGAACATGGATGTTTTGAATAAAGAAAAGCAACGGGTGCATTCGTTGTGCGAAACTGTAAAACGCAGAGCTGATGATGCCGAGAAATGCTTGGAGCATGCAAACGTCTCCTTGGAGCATTTTAAGAGTACCGCCAGCAAAAGCAAAGAGTTCGAACAAATGTCTACCGATTTAACTGCTAAGATTACCACCATGGAGAAGGATCACGCTACTGTTCAAAAGGAAGTCGTTCGCTTGAAGGAGATTCTGGAAACTAAAGATAGAACTTTGGATACGCAATCGGAATTGTGCGAGAAAAAGGAGAAGGATATCATCAAACTAACTAGAGACTTAGAAACCCTTTCCGGGCAAAGTGAGAAGCTGTCAGAGTTTGAGAAAAAATATCAAGAATTGAATTCGCAAACTACAGTCCATTTAGAAACAATAACGACTCTGCAGAAAGACTTGGTTGGCGAGAAAGTCGTCAATGAAAAATGCAAGAGTATTTTGGAGAAGATGGGATTGGGTTTGGATATTTTGGACACCGATGTTAGTACGATAGTAGAACGCATGTTTGAAAAGTCTGATTTGGCTTTAACCATAGTAACGTATGCCAAAGAAAAACTATCGCTGGAGAAGCCAGTGAAGGTGGAAAGGGATCCAGAATTGGATCTAAAATGCGAGAAGCTCACCAACGATTTGAATACCATGCAAAATGAGAACGCCAAAATGCAAGTAGATATTTCTACGTTAACTTCACAGGTAAATTCTCTGCAGACGCAGCAAACGGCGCTCCAATTAGCCAACAGTCAGCTTGTCGCGGAAAAGGAAGAGTTGACTAAACAGAACGAAGCTAAGCGTTTGACCTACGACGCGATGCTGGTGGATTTGAGCACCATTCGGAATCTTCACGAGCAGCTAGGTAAGGATTACGAAGATGCGAAGAAAGAGCAGGAGACCTTGAAGAAGACATTGCGCGATTCCAAGGCCGAGGCGCGCAATACCAAAGAGATGAACGATGGGTTAGAGAAGAAGGTGACAAATCTGGAGCAGGAAAAAGATGCGCTGAAGAACGAGTCCAAGAGTTTGGGCAATTTGCGGACGGAGCATTCTAAATTGAAGGATGACTTCCGACATCTATTCACGGCGAACGAACGACTGAAGACTGAGTATAGGGCTTTGCAGGAGGAAAACAAGAGCTTGAGAGCTGAGACCAGTAAACTGCGGTTGTCTAAGGGCGAGGTAGAGACCGAACTGAACGCAAGAATCGACATCTTGAAGTCGATGCAGCAGAGGTGCGACATCCTGTACGAAATGAACACCAGCCTGGACGGCGATCGCAGGGCCCTCATGGATCAAGTTACCAAGCTCTTGGCGCAGTACCACTCTCTCCTCCTGCACTCGCTCGAGGACAAAGAGCACTTTCATTTAGAAGAGAAGATGTTCACTGATAGGCTCAACAATCTGTGCAGACAGAAAGAGAAACTCGAGGAGAAAATAATGGAGCATTATAGAAAAATGGACAATGCATCGGTGAAGAAGCGTGGTTTTGGCGCTAACCTCATCAAGAAGTTGAGGAAGACGGGCAGCGACATGATCAAAAGTCCGAGAAACAGGAGGTCATGGCACGAGGACGCGGAGAAGTCTTCTTCGCAGCTGATGATCGTCGGCGCGGGTTCCGGGGAATCCGCCGGTAACGATTCCGACAACAGCATGGGGGATCCACAGGTCCCAAGGAGTGAACCCTTCAAGCGCTCCGTAGGTAGTTTGCATGGTCATAAACCCAGAGACGAGGTGGCTTTGAGGAGATCGCATCGTGATCTGACCTCTCACCGGAACAGCGTAGCTGGTAAGTCGCAACATTAATAAAAATAGTAATATCTATAGTTCGTCAATTTTACTCTTGTTTTCTGTTTAGGTGATCAAGTCTACCCCAGAGAACCACAGGGCCCATTGAGCTTGGGATCCGTGGGCACCAGACGGACTGTTTACTTGTCGGAGGACGATCCAGCGCCGCCGAGCACGCCAACGAACACTTCTTCAAACAATCCAAACGACACTCCATTCATGGTCTACAACAAGATCTCCGTCTTCGGGGATTCACAGAGGAGTCAGATGGTAACGTCCACCCCGGTGCACCAACAGCAGAGCAAGAACGAGGAGGTTCACGACGTCCCGACCGACCGTAAACCCAAGGGAGACGGTGCCAAAGAGAACGAGACCTGGTTCGAGTATGGGTGCGTTTAGAATGATAGCACCGTGAGTTTTCTATCTTTCGTATAGTGTCTACTTTTCTTGATACAAGATGAATCATCGAAAACGTGAACAATCGGAAGGATTCGGATTCGACACCACCAATATTTACCTCAAATCTCGATCCCACCCTTTCCTGCACGCATTTCGCTGGCTCATCGAGTATGTGTGATATATGTTTTCCATATTTCTTCCTCCTTGATCTCCTCCGTGTGCAGTTTTGGTCTTCGAAAGTTAACCATTTTAGTATTAGAAAATAATAAAAAGAAACCACGTATGCCTTATTATGGCCTTAACTTAACAAAAAAATAAATAAGATGAAATGCGGGTGTAACGAAAATCAAAAATTTATACGCTTTAAGTGCTTTTCTTCCTCTTAAATTTAAAGTATTCTCTTTGTTTTCTATTTTTAGCATTTAGTATTATTAAAACCACGGCTGTATTATTATTTATGTGCTTAGGATGCGCTCTCTATTCTTGCCTAATTCATCAAAAAAAAACAAACAAACAAAAAATCAAAAGCAACTAACTCTTAAGGTCTAGCATTTAGGTTTATTTATAACGCAAAAAAAACCGCAGTACTGAAACACTAATATTAAAACCAACCCGTCTAGTTAAGTGTGAACTCTGTAAAATGTGATTCCATCCAATTTTACTAGAAAGTGTTCTTTTTTTTTAATATATATTTATATATATGTATACATCCAGACAATGTACAAGTTTTTATTCTGTTCGTGAGTTTTAAATGTATTTTTTTTAACTTAGACAAAGGACAATATTAGGAATTGATCTTCCATGTTGTATACCGATTTTATATAAATATAGATAAAAGTGTTTGCTAATCAAGAAAATAAATATATATATATTGATAGATATACAAAAAAAAATATATAGAAAGTATAGGTCGTTACATAATTTAATTAATAATATCCAGTCTCTTGTTTGCATCACGCTTGCAGCTCCATAGAGGCGTCGGAGGACGATTCTGATAGGTAGAAATTGTTACCGCCCACTGTCACCGTGCTACCAATCTTGACCCTTTCGTCACTTGAAAATGTCGAGATTAGCGTCTGAAAATTTTACAAGTACATTATTTCAATGTTAATACTTGACAAGTACTTCGTTTCCATGACTTATTCGAAATGTTACTTTATATCAGAAAAGTTAATTTACTTTTGGTTTAGCATCCGAGATTCTCATGTATCCGACGCTCATGGATTCGGTGCTGTGGCCCCAGAGGACGGTTCCTTCTCCAGTTTTGGAAACGTGCACCGCTAAAGCCCCTGCGTTCTTCTCTTTGATCCTATGCAAATATCGTGAATCTGGACATGAATCATAATTTTAAATATAGCAAAGAAAAAAGTACGGAGCTCGATTGGACGTACTGATGAATTTGTTGGTCATCGACGAGTACAGAGCTGTGACCGGACACGAGCAATTCTTCAGGTCATCGGAAATCTCTTTGGCCAACTGCGTTTGCACCAGATGCTCACCGCATCCGGTGGTGCTAACTGCAACGGAATCTTCCGACTTCTTCGCCCAACTGTCGGCCCAGACGCCGCATCCGTACAGCGCAGCTTGACCCACTCTTCCTGGACTCTTCAACAACAATCCACCTGCATAAAACATTTTAAATTAATTCTTTCATTCATTTCTTTCAAGTAATTGATTACCGGAACTGCAGGCGGATGCTACGCAACCGGTGGAATCTACGCAGACGGCACCGACTGTGTCCAGCTTCACGTTGACTATACCCAGGTACTTCCTCATCTGCCGCTCGGCTTTTGGTGACACCAGGTCTTTGTTTTTAACGATCTTCAGGCTTTTGGAGCGGGCGTGCTTCAAGGCGCCGCTACCGACGAGCAGTGAGGGAGCCACCAGACCGGAAGGTTGCTCCACCAGTTGCTTCTGACAGATTTCGTAAGCCAGAGCTACGGGATTCTTGACCTTCGGCACCGATCCGCAACCTCCGAAGAGCAGATTATCGCCGTTCATTACGGAAGCGTCGCATTCGACGCGACCCTCCACAGTCAAATTGGATCCATATCCGGCATTCGAAAGCGGATCATTCTCCAAAACTAATCAACATAAAGCAAATTAACAGATTATTTTTTTTAATTCAATCAAATAGCTTCGAACTAATTTAGATAAGACTTTCCATTGAGCAATAAACGGAAGATAAGTCTTAATAAATCATGTTACATAAATCATCTGAAATCCAATCTTGTAAGTTGATAACAATAATACAAATTAATTCATTAATTGAATTCATTCAACTAATTTAAATTATCTACATTGTATATACAAACAAAATAAAAAAATTGTAGAAGTTATTATATAATATGAATTGTTTAAAACAAATTTGATTGAGATGATCAAACTACTAGAAAAATAGTTATTCTACCAAATGCAAGACTTGAATGTTTACAATTGTAAATGCATGCAAAATTGCTTGTTTCAAATTGAACTAATTGAATGATGAGTCTACTCTGATATGTTAAAAGTGCTGTTAATAACAATATAATGAATTCAAATTGAACTAAACTATGAAATTGGTTGATGACATTAAATGTCATTAATAATTTTAATCCTACATCAAAGAGGCCTCAGTTACTACAGTAACAAGAAACAAATGTTGTTTATAATAGTAATTGTCATCAACAATAATTGTACTAAGTTTGAGTAAATTGTTTAGGATTAATTCAAACATTCAACTACTTTTCAATTGATTGAAGATGCAATGGATCAGAAAACAAAGGTGGATCATCTATCTACAAGGTAAGCAAACATCCTAAATATTGCGATGTGTTTAAAGCAAATTATTTACTAATTACAGCAGCCCTGACGGCCTCCAAGGCGCTTCCACCGGCTTTGATCACCTCCATCCCGGCCCTGCACGCTTTACTGCACAACTTGTTGTATTTAACATGATGCTTGGTGGAGTGGCTTCCCGCACCTTCAGATCGTTAATGGTAATTAATAAAGTTGAAATTAATTCGCCGCAGCAAATTTCTTACCGCAATGTACTGCTATCATCGTCTGTTGTTTGTACAGGTTATGTGCGAAAATTCGCCACCCAGATTCGATCCGGCCGAAGCGGTAAACATCGCTTGTGCATAGTGGGAAGAGTGATCTTTCATCCTTCGGAATACTGCTGATAAGGATTAGCCGTTTAAAAAACCAGCAGCTGACGGGCTTCTCAACACTCGTATCACGACAACCAACAAAGAAGCTATGTCATTCTCCGTTCCCAAACTTGAGTTCTCCAATGGCCGCAAGGTTCCCATCTTCGGCTTAGGCACTTGGAAGGTAAACGCATCCATCTAATTGGATCCAATGCATTGACATTATTTTGTTACTGTTATTTTTTTTTGTTGCAGTCCAAGCCTGGAGAGGTGAGCCAAGCTGTTAAGGATGCCATTGATATTGGCTACAGGCACATAGATTGTGCACATATCTATGGGAATGAGAAGGAGGTTGGTCAGGCCATCAATGCTAAACTGGATGAAGGTGTGGTCAAGAGGGAGGACCTCTTTGTTACGAGCAAACTGTGGAACACCTTCCACAGGCCAGATCTTGTTGAGGGCGCGCTAAAGGATTCTCTCGCCAATTTAGGCTTGAGCTACTTGGATCTCTATCTCATCCACTGGCCCATTGGCTATTTGGTTTGTTTTTCTGATTGTCAGGTTCAATTAAGATAACGCAAATTAAGGAAGCAAACTGATATTTATCTTGCTTATTTCTTTTTGCCGATAAATTGAATTTGAAAGTCGCGATCCAATGATTTTTAAATTGATTTAACTGAATTTGATTTTAAACAGGAGGAAGGTCCTTTATTCCCCACCAATAAGGATGGTAGTATGCTCTTTAGTGAGGTGGACTACGTGGATACCTGGAAAGCGCTGGAAGCGTGCACCAGGAAGGGCCTCGTCAAGTCTATAGGTCTGTCCAATTTCAACAAAAAGCAAATCGAGAGGGTGCTGAAAGCGGCCACCGTCAGACCGGTCAATCTTCAAGTATGAAATACTTATAGTTTCGTAAAGAACATTTTTGATTTACTGAGAGAAAATTTAGGTGGAATGTCATCCGTATCTGAACCAGTCCAGGTTGATCGAATTCTGCAGGTCGAAGAGGATTCAGGTGACTGCTTACAGCCCTCTTGGATCACCGGACAGGCCTTGGGCGAAGCCCGATGATCCGGTCTTGTTGGACGATCACAAGCTTAAGGAAATAGCTAAGAAGTACAATAAGACCGTAGCCCAGCTCCTGCTGAGGTACCAAGTTCAGAGGAACATCATTACCATTCCCAAATCGGTAACCAAGTCGAGGATCGCTGAGAACTTCCAAGTTTTTGACTTCGCACTAACCGACGACGATGTTAAATACTTGGACTCGTTCAACTGCAACGGTAGAATCTGTCCCATGACACCGTAAGTATTATTATGTTAAAAAAAATCATGAGATCATTAGTTAATATTTGTTTTATTTTTCAAATTATTGATGGTTTAAATTTGGAACTTTTCCATTAATGCTGTTTTCAAGCAGATTATTTCACGCTTTTTTTTGTCTAGAATTAATCCATATAGTATATAATCAAAGTATGTCCAAGGACATGCCAAGTACAATTATTACGCAATTTCATTTAAATGCAATACTGTGTCTATGGTTGTTTTTATAGAGCTTTGGGTCATCCGCACCATCCGTTCGAGAATGATGAATACTGAGTGTTTCATTTGGAAGATGAATGAACCCTGTTACTCTTATATTATATTTCTTATTTTATTTTGTAAAAATTCATACTGTGTCGAGTAAAACTCATAAAAAAAATAATAATAAATATTGCACAACTAATGTAATCTGATATCATCTATCCCGCTCTATCCTCATCGATCTTCAAGTTTTCTTCTCGAGGATGATTACTTAATTGATAGTAGATGACGTGGATTTAAGTGGTAGCGGGGAATAGATAAACTTGATCTCGAAGGCGCGCGCACTGTGATTTCGCTTATAAATAAATTGCAGGAGGCGACGAGGATTCGCCGTTTTATTGCTTCATCCGTTGCGTGGAACGAGTATACAGTTAGAGATAGTAACACAACAAGGAAGAGAAGGCAACAGCAAGTATGGCATCGAAAGTTGTACCCAAGATCAAGTTCAATAACGGCAGGGAGTTTCCGCTCTTCGGTTTGGGCACATGGAAGGTAAAATAAATTATATATGACATACTTAAGAATGCTTGCATAGTCGCGATATCGATTGTATAATAGTAAATTAATAATTATACATATAAAACGTAATTATTTACGATAAAAGTAAGCTGAGAAAACATGTAACATTTTTTCACATATTCCTAATTATTACAAAAAAAAAACTAACTCACTGTTTATATTGTTGGAAAATATGTGAAAATTTATTTTAAAGAAAATAGATTGAGAAATAATAATCCAATTATTTAATTAACATTAATAACCTTTTTGGTTTTATGGACATCTATGTTAATGAATTGATTGAAATGTTATAGTTTTAACTCTACCTGAACTATAAATCATTTTATTGATACAAAGAGAAGAAATTTAAGAAAAAAAATACTTTTACAACTTTTTATTAAAAACAATCATAGTACTTCATCAATAATAATTGAGATATAATGTAATTACATTGAACCTTTTTTTTATCAAAATTATTTCTATGATCTTGCTACTACTTGCTTTCTAAAATAGATAAGATAGTGTATTTCAAATTAATGAAAAGTAAATAAAAAGTTTATTATATGAATTGAAACTTCATGTGAACAGTAAATTACCATTCACTTATTTAGGTCATCAATGTTAAAGTAATTATGTAAAATTATATGAATTAATATATTTCATATAAAATTATGGTTTTTAAAGATCAAATATGAACTTTAATAGCAATTTAAAAAATAACTATAATATATGCATTCTAGTTTAAAATTCAACAATTATTTTAAATGTAAAAATAGTAGAATGTCAATAGCAAATATTCATTGTTGATAAGAAACTAATGGGTTATTTGTTGTTTAATTTAATGAATTCATAACAATTGCGCATATATTAATGAACATTCTTCAATCGATATAATTCAAGGACGCACGAATGGAAATTGTGTTTTGAGCTATAATTCCATATCTTGTTAAATTCATGTTACCGTAAATTGAGACTATTAAAAGCAAAATTTGTTTCTAGATCGCCAATACATTGAAAATTTGTAAACACATATTTTATGTGCGATTAGATTTGTTTTCGAAGTGTTTACCGTGATTAGATTGTTTTTCCATGCGTTTGAAGTTTTATTTGCTAACGATTAGTTTTTTCTCGGTTACAGTCGAAGCCTGGTGAAGTTACTCAAGCTGTGAAGGATGCCATCGACATTGGTTATAGGCACATCGATTGTGCTCACGTTTACCAAAACGAGAAGGAAGTTGGTGCAGCCATTACGGCCAAGATTGCTGAAGGTGTCGTCAAAAGGGAGGATTTGTTCATCACCAGTAAACTGTGGAACACCTTCCACAGGCCAGGAGCAGTCGAACCTGCTTTGAAAGTTACCCTTAGCAACCTAGGTCTGGAGTATTTGGACTTGTACCTGATCCATTGGCCTTTCGGTTTCAAAGTAATGTTAATAAGCGATTTGGTGAATGTATTTATAGAGAAGATATTTTAGGAAGGAGAAAACATTTTCCCGATGAAGGAAGATAACTCCGGCGTCGATATGTCCGACGATGATTACGTTGACACCTGGAAAGCCATGGAGGAAGTAAACGCCAAGGGACTGACCAAGTCCATTGGAATCTCTAATTTCAACAAGGCCCAGATCGAGAGGTTGCTCCAATCCGCGAAGATCGTCCCAGCCACCAATCAAGTAATGAGCAGCAAATTTTTGAAATATCTTAATCTAATTTTACGTTTTTGTTTTAGGTTGAATGCTCTCCGTACTTCAATCAGAAGAGATTGATCGAATTCTGCAGGTCCAAGGGCATCACCATCACAGCATACAGTCCTTTGGGATCTCCAGATAGGCCGGGATACAAGGCAGGCGATCCTCAACTCTTGGACGATCCCAAGTTCAAAGAGATGGGAGCCAAGTACGGTAAGACCGCAGCCCAGATTGTTCTTAGATATCAAGTGCAGAGGGGACTCATCACCATCCCCAAATCCGTGACGAAATCCCGGATCGCCGAGAACTTTAACATCTTCGATTTCGAGCTTTCCACTGAAGACATGGCACATCTGGACTCTTTCGATTGCAACGGAAGGACCTGCACCTTCGCAGAGTATGCATTTTGAAGGTAAATTAATCGTAGCAAATTGTATTAACGGAATCGTATTTCAGTGCCAAATCGCATAAATACTACTCATTCCACGATGAATACTAGGAAAGCAACATCTTTTGGTCTTATAAATTCCTTTCGTGGAATTTAATTAAAATTAGAATATTTGGAATAAATTAATTATTATCAATATTTATTGTAAATACATCGAGTTTGGAAACAAATATTCTTGTTTTATACAAATAAATACAAATTTCATTACGAATATATAATATATAACAAAAGTGTGGAGAAAGAAAGAAAAAATAAATAGTGCGTGGTGAGAGAGAATAGAAATTGAAAAAGCCGTACTCTAAGCTTATTCTTCATCGCAATCATCGCATTCTGGTATTGTGGGTGGAATAGAGATGATGCAGTTATTACTGTTGTTATTGTTGATAGGCTGAGGCGGTGTGTATTGGTTGGGGATGAACCTGGGTGGCGTGTGGAAGCCTTCCTCGAGTTCATCGTCTTCATCATCCTCCTCATCGTCGCCTTCCCCATCCATGCTCCTCTGGAGCTTCAACAGTTTCATTTGATAGAACCTCTTCTCCTCGTTCATGCAGGCCATGTCCTTCTCCTGTTCAGCTATGACTTGCCTCAGGTCGGAGATGAGGTTCAGATCTTCCTGCCGCGAATCGCGTCTCTCGTATCGCCCTCTCACCTCTTCAAAACTGTAGAAGAATACATTAATGATTTATAGAAGACTGTAGCTATGAGTAGGTCCACTCACAGTTTCGTTAACGTTGTGCATTTTCTCTGCAGATGATCTATCGTCGTCTGGTACTGTTTCTGCTGCTGATTGAATTTCATCTGTAGCTCATCCTTTTCCTGGGCTTGAAGCGCCTGGAGTTTGATGAGGACGTCCTGGAGGCCTCTGGCGTCGTGGTAAAGATAAAATCGAGGTTAGGAGGTGTGGATTATAATATAAAATATAATAAAAGGGTTAGTGATGTGGTTGGTGGTAAATGCTGTTAGGCAGTAGTAGTATAGTATAATAGTATAAATGCTTTTGGATATAATAAATGTATGTGAAAGATCATTGGTATTTGTAGAGGATGGCAGAGCAGAGGAGGAAGATTAACGTGAGGGCGTTGCAAGTCTGGAAGAGGTATGCGACGATCGGGAAGAGAAATACTAAGTAGGTCGTATCCGGCGATATGCCCTTAGTGTTTCTAAAGTTAGAGAGGTTCAAAGTTGTATTAGTCAAATGTGTCCTCGCTGTGAAGAAGAATGTCGTCATCACCTGATTTTCTGGTCGGCGTCCTTGCGGTTCTTCTCCAGCTGCTCCCCCTGATTTGCGATCTCCTGATTAAGAACCTGCACTCCGCCTTCGAGTACGTCCACGTTGTTCTGCAGATCATCGATGGTTGAAGATTTGCTGCTCACGTCGTTCTTCAAGCTATCTATGCTCTTGAGCAGTTCAACTTCGCGAGCCTCGTGCGATTTCTGCTGAGTGTAGAACTGCTCCTCCAACGTTTTGTATTTATTGACGTACTCATCTTCGACGAGTTTGATCGCCTCGCTCTTCTGATGGATCAGATTGTCCCATTGCGCGTCTGAAATTATCCGCGGCGCATTTAATTATAATCCGCAGTTTGGCAGAGGCAACGTAAATTAAATATAGAATCGCTCACCTAGTTCGGATCGGTGCTGCTGGATGAGGGACTGAATCTTCTGCTGTGATTCACGCTCCATCTGCTCTTTGACCAACTCCAGGGTGGTCCTCAACGAAGACATCTGATTTTGACAGCTCGTCTCGACCTCTTTAACTCTGAGATCGTGCTCCTCGTTGATCCTCTCTGAAACGAATTAGATTCGTTACTGATGCCAACAAAAAAAACTCTGACACGCCAACACTCACCTATCTCCTTCTCGTTGTCCATCATCAGTTTCTCGAAGCGCTCGTGGTGAGCGTCATCTATCTTATCCATGATCCTCCTCAGCTCCAAGATGTCGCGATCGGTTACAGTCTGTTGGGTTACCATATCATCATGGTATGTCCTCTCTTTCTCGTCGAGGGTCTTCTTCAAAGCTGCGATGTCCGCAAGACACTCTTCCACCTTCTCTTCCCATTTCTTTTTGGCCTCCTGGAACTCCTCTTCCTTTTGCGCTCGGATGTTCTCGACGGCCGTCTGCTTCTCCTCGAAGTACAGCTGCTCCAGCTCGTACTTCAATCTTCCTATCTCGTGCAGCAACCTCTCCTCCCAGTAAACGGCAATCTCAGTCTTTTTCTCGTCCAAAGTGTTCTGCAGCCAACGCTCCTTATCAATGATCTCCTGATTGTGGACGCGCTGCATGTGCTGCAGATTCTCCTTCTCCAAATCGATCAAACTCCTCAACTTCTTCGCCTCGTCCTTTAAACTCTGCTCGACGAGACGCATCTGCTCCTGCTGCTCCCTCAGAAACTCGAGCGACTTTTCCTGCTGCTTCGATTTATCTTTGAGCTCGCCCATCTCCATCTCGCATTCCTTCAGATGCTCCACCTCGTCCATCATCTCTTGCGCCAACTTCATCTTCTCTTCGGCATCTTTGTACGCCTCCTGAATCCTCACGTCCACGGTCTTATCTTTCTCGATTAATCTGCCCTTGCAGGTCTTCTCCACCTCCCTGAGCTTCCACTCGAAATCGTCGAGCAATTGCTGCTCCTTCAGAATGCTCACCGTCCTCAGCTTCTCGAATTCCTCCTCCCATTTCTTGTTCACGTTCTCCTTTTCCTTCAGAGCCTCCTGCAGCGCGACCTCCACCAGCTGCTTCTCCTTTTCTCTCTCCGCCAAAATAGCCTCCTGCTGCAATTCCAGCTGCCTCTTGTCTCTTTGCAATTCCTCGATCTGCATTTCCAGCGATCCTATCTTCACCTTCAGCTCACCGATCACACGCTCAAGTTCATTTATTCTCGTTCCCGCTTCAGTTTCTTTCTTTGCGTAACTCTCTGCAACAACACCATCAACAACAAGAGATAACATTTATTTTCAAAATGCAAAATTACCATTTTTATTTGTGAGCTCCTCGGACAGTTCGCCATTCTTCCTTCTGTACTCTTGCAGGTCATCCTCCAGATTCCTCAGCCTCTGCTTCACGTACTCGGATTCCTTGTGGGCTGCTTGAAGTTCGGCCTGGAGCCCTAAATGTGAAACGCGTGACCCCATTATGTTTCGTGTAATGCAATGCGCCTGTTGCTGGTGCTATTATTTATCTCTTCGGTGTCATTGATTAAATATTTGCCCTTATCGGCGATTGCTATATTAGTTATTATATATTATCGACGAAAGATACGCTCGCTCTCTCTGTGCCGGTTATTATTCTATGAACAACAATGGGAAAAGAAAAGACTTACGGTCCATTCCTGCCGATTTGGCAAACACGTCCCTCTGCAGCTCCTCCTGCTGGAACCGCAGCTTGTTCGCCTCTCCATCCCTCTGCGATAGCTGCTTCGACAGTTCGTTCAGTTGACTTTGGAATTTTGCCTCTTGATTTATCAAATTTTTCCTAAAACAATCAAAAACCACACATACATGAAATGTACAAAAACTGAAATTGTTATCAAAACTCTTGTTCTATTAATAACATAATTTGAATCTATTCAAAATTGTTATAGGATTTCAGCAATCAACTGGCAAAGCGTCCCGAGCGAACATGCTCGTAAATTGTTGCAAAATTCTCGATCTCAATTGAGATGAAACACGGTGGCAGCATCTGGTTTTCCTCATGGATTTTATTAACAAGAAAGTTTACCGAATCTTTATTATCATTATTAATATTCAAATTTATTGCTTAGTATTTAAATATTTATAAATGTATATATTTTTAGTTTATGCGTCTATTTACCATTGATTATATTTATACTTTGTTCGTATTTTTATTTGTGAAGATTCGAAACGAAATTTGGACTTGAAACAATATAATCTTAATTAGTTGCTGCAAACAGAAACAAATCTTATAAAATGATCATAAACTTTTTAATTTAATTACATTTAGTAAGATGTTATAATTTTTAAGCAACTTTTATATGACAATGTATACATTTAATCAACATATCTTTATAAATTTTCACTTTGTTTTAGGTTGATGAAATCACGAATCAAGATTTCGTCCAAGTTGATAATAAGTATTAACACTCAGCATCTATTTATATGTCTTCAGTTCATCTAAGAATTGTATGGTCTTGTTAATTCCATCTGCGATGTGCTAATTTTTAAGCAAGAATATTTATCGTTGTATGTGTAAAGCAAGAAACTTCTTTGATTACGTCTGCGTCTTCAGTTGTTTAAGATCCCATAATCTAGGTGGTAAACATAAAACAAGTGTTCTTTCACGTAGAGTCGGTATATTTAGACTGTTGTGCAAAAGTCGAATAAATCAATCATTGACTTTCAATTAGCAGAAGGCGGCGGTTTGCGTCTTGATAGTAAGAAACGGCGTCTCGTCTGAAGAGGCGAATTCTAATTATAAAAGCGAGTGGGTGTTCGCGTTGCATGCGGACGTCAAATGGGTTAATTCGATCGCAAAGAATAACAAGAAACGAAATAGAAAAAAAAAATACAAACGTACGTCTCGTCTTCTTTATCTTTGTCTTCGTGTGTTTGTCCGTTCGTTGCGTGTGGAGGATTGTCCGCGCTGTGTTGCCTCTTCAGATGGTTACCATCCACTTGATGATTCTTCTCTTTCAAGCTACCTTTGCGCTCGTTCTTCTTGCATCTCGGTGTAGGTTTCACCTCAACCACTGCTGCAGTTGGCGCCGATTTGTTGTTGTTCTTCACCTCCAATTTTGGGCTCGGCGGTGGCGTCTGCTGCTGCTGCTGTTGATGCTCGTTCTTCTTGGAGATGGCCAATGGGACTCTCGGCGAAATCGCAACGGTTCCGTGTCCGCACGGTTTAACGTTCTGCCCTTTCGCCTCGGACTTCTTCAGCGTTCCGGCGTACGAGAGCATTCTTGGTTTTTCGTTCGTTTGGTCGTCGTTAGTTGTTACACCATTGCAACTATCCCGACAATCCTCGTTCCCTGCCAAAACTATGCCACCTTGCGGCAAATTATTTTTAAACGAATTTCGCGTGGGACGACCGGCCTCATCTTTCACCAATTTTTTCTCGGATCCGTCCTCCCGTCTCGACCTCTTGAAGAAGTTGAACATCTCGAAGACAATTTAACTCACTGCACCAACATCTTTTTTTCTAGTCCTCCTTTTTTCTCCCCTCGGTCTTCTCTTAACTTCTTCAAATCTCAAAAAAACTACAGGAAAGTTTTCTTCTGGATTTTCTCCCACGATGCAGTGAGCTTGAGTGATGGTGATCGAAAGGGGGAAAATGTTTTCGAGGCGAATGTCCAAACACTACTAAATATTTCCCCCGAGAGTCGCGATTTCCAACATCACTTCAGTTTATATTTAGCGGCGGGAAAAGGCACAAAAACCACTAGGAGAAAACGATGCTCTGACGCTGAGACGCCGATGCACGCACTTCTCCAATCTGCTTTCCTCTCTCACTTTTTTTCTTTCATCTTTCACCTCACCCAGCTCGCAATCTGGACTCCAAAATACTTCATGAATGGACGCACCTTACGTAATTTGTTTTTATTACCATCGATATTAAATATTAAGCGAACGCTGTTTTCTTCCTACTTTGCGACGTAAAGTGAACGTAAATTTAGCTCGTGAATAATCCAATATTTATAGATCCCTTTGTTATTTCTTTAATTTCATTTCCTTAGCAACAATTCTTCATTTGTTTTTTCTTCATCACATAACTCTACATGAGCTTTGTTTTTGTTTTTCACTGAAACATTACATGAATATTCACTTTTGTTCCTTAGCAACAGATTTGTTATTCGTTTTACATAAAATCAATGTTTGATTTTGAATATTCATTTATTTTTATTTTCCATAGCAACAATGTTCATTCATCAAATCTTTGTACTATAGTTTTGGCTTGCTTTTAGATTTAGATGAAACTCAATATCTAAACTTGACTAGGTCGATAACACTCCACTATTTTTAGTTATCCAAAATTTTGCCAAAATTCAACTAATTTATTTCGCATCGTCATGATCATCTCCAATTAATTTCGCTTACATTTCAGAAATATTTATACAATAAGAGTATTCAATTATTAGTAAATAACTAGAAAACTAATTGAGTTTAATTAAAAAGAAACTAATTGGTGGTTTAAATTTAAGATAAAACTGAATGAAATAAAAGTTTTTCAGTTTTTACGTAATTCGTAGTGAAAGTTGAACTTTGAAACTATGAAAAAAACCGTATTTTTAGCTTAACTTCTAGCTGAAACTTGATGGAATACATTGAGTGCACATTTTAATGTGTAAACACGACAAACATTGATTTATTGGCCTTGTGATTTTCGCGTGTGGAAATTGTGTAGTTATGCAAGTAAGTGTGTATGTGAAAATAAAGCATATAGAAAAGTTTTATATACGTATATAACATATATATTTGTTTTATTGGAAGTTGTTTGGACGTTCCGTCGCTCCATGCCAAGCGACCGTCCAAGAATAAATCCGCGACGGTATTTTTAAACGACTTCGAGAATGAAAGAACAAAGCACCGAAAAAATAATAATAAAATTAATAATGTTGCTTTAGCGCGAACGATAATTGTGTTTCTTAGAAATTGAGTAAATAGGTTTTATGGATTCGCATGAAATAGTTGAAAGTGATTCAGTTTTCATGAAAATACTGAAAGTTCTGTTGTTGTAAAGCGAGTAGGAAATGAATGAGATCAAAATCAAATAGTAACGTTTCTTTTATGACAGTTTATAATTTTATTTTTATTTATTAAAGATTGATTTTTTTTATCATAACAACATATATTTAACAAATCAAACATTTAGTCTTGAAATTATATAATCTATACTAAATTATTATGAAAACTTGATGTAATATAGTTGAAATAGTAACGTTTCTTTTATGACAAATTTATAAGCACATTTTTCAAATTGATTTTTGATAATATTTTGTATCAAAATGTAATTAACAAATCGAACATTTAGTATTAAAATTACATAATCTATACTAAATTAATATGAAATCATTACATAATATAGTTTTCAATTGTGAAAATGGAGGCGAATTAAAATAGTAACGTTTCTTTTATGACAAATTTGTAAGTACATTTTTCTAAATGATTTTTGATTTTTTTTTGTATCATATCAAAATCTAATTAACAAATCAAACATTTAGTATTAAAATTACATAATTTATACTAAAGTATTATGAAATCATTATATAATATAGTTTTCAATTGATAAAATTGCAGCGAATTTAAATAGTAACGTTTCTTTTATGACATATTTGTAAGTAAATTTTTCTAATTGATTTTTGATAATATTTTTGTATCATTTCAAAATATAATAAACAAATCAAACATTTAGTATTGAAATTACTTAATTTATACTAAATTAATATGAAATCATTATATAATATAGTTTTCAATAGTGAAAACGGCAGCGAATTCAAATAGTAACGTTTCTTTTATGACAAGTTTATAAGAAAATCTTTGTAATTGATTTTTGATAATACTTTTGTATCATTTCAAAATCTAGTTAACAAATCAAAGATTTAGTCGTGAAATTATATAATTTATACTAAATTATTATGAAATCATGTTAAAATATAGATTTAAATAGTGAAAATGGAGGCGAATTCAAATAGTAACGTTTCTTTTATGACAATATTGTAAGTACATTTTTCTAATTGGTTTTTGATTTTTTTGTATCATATAAAAATCTAATTAACAAATCAAACATTTAGTATTGAAATTACATAATTTATACTAAATTATTGTGCAATCATTATATAATACAGTTTTCAATTGTGAAAATGGCAACGAATTCAAATAGTAACGTTTCTTTTATGACAAATTTTTAAATAAATTTTTCTAATTGATTTTTTTTGTATCATATCAAAATCTTGTTAACAAATCTAAGATTTAGTATTGAAATTATATAATTTATACTAAATTATTATGTTATAATATAGATTTCAATTGAAAAAATATGATCGAACTGAAATAGTAACGTTTCTTTTATGATATTTTTTATGACATATTTTCATTTTATCATAGTTAGAAAATGAAATAAGATAAGATTTTTTCTAAATATCAATAAATGTAGGAACAATTATCTAATCTCATTTCACATTCTTTAAACGATTTGGACCTTAATTATCTAATGAATAAAACTGTCCGCGCACAACTTTCTCTCTCCTTCCAGTTATAGTTTATTTCTGTAGAAAGAACCGCTGCAAACGTTTCTTTTAATAAATGCGCGTCTTCGCGTTCCTCCATATCCATCCGCAGCGAAATTGGCAATTACAAAAAGAAAAATCGACGAGACGAGACGACGGATATTTTTAGTTTATTCTAATTCCTTTAGCTTCCATTTCAGTCTTTCCCTTGTCCTCTCATTGGTTGAGAAACAGAAAGGGAGGACAACTTTCGGGAATGCGCGATTTACCGCACCGCTCCGCTCTTCGTCCTCCTCTGGACTGGACTGTTGACCCGTCGGACGCAAATAGTCCTCCGCACTTTCAGGCCCAATTTTAACGCGACATCATCCACTGCGCTCTGGCCAATATTATACCTTACCACTTTCACGCAACCAGAAGATGTTCAAAAGATGCATTTTCCTTCAGACCGCAATGTTTATTTGAACCGTATAAACACTTCGTATTTATGTTTACGCACCTTCTGTGTGTATATCAAACGCAGCCCACAATTACGTGAAAACCAGAATTTAACATTTACGATCAACAAGAAACGGAATAGAAACAAGAAACTGCTTTAATTCGTACAAAACATTAACGTTACATTTCTCTTCATTTTCTCAAAATCTTGACTTTAAAAGACAAAATTTCAAACTTTTTACTTTATTTTAAGTAATAAAAGTATACTTTAACTATTTAATTCAGTTAATTCAACAAGAAATTGCAAATTAAGATAGTTTATACATCAATTTAGAAATTTATTCACAAAAAAACAATGAGAGTGTATAGAAGTTGGCTCGATTTTTGAGATGAAACACATCACTCTGATGTATGTAATTCGTGTAAATTTCGTTCTTGATTATTTTTACACGCCGCACGCGCTTTTAAAGCCAAAAGAAGCGCAAATCGCGAAAAATTGGACGTCGAGAGATTTCCCGAAATAGAACGCGGCAGCTGATTTACGCCTAAACCTGTACGAAAACATCATTTCATTACCATCCTCTCTTTTTTTTTTGGCTCCTTTCATGTAAAACTTGCATACGAAAATAATGTTTCATTCACCTGAGAATAAAACGAGAAGAGGATTTTTTTTGATCTCTTTGTGTCTTTGTTGATATTTTTAGTATAATTGTCTATGACCCAAAACCTTGAAACACTTTGTTTGTTTTCTCTGTAGGTTGCAAATGTTGCGTTAACAGTTAATTAGTGAAATTGCACTATTTTTTCGTTCGAAAGGTGCCAAAAGGACGTTACTCGTGCGAAGAAGAAACGTCGCTTTTGTATTTTCGAAATTGACCTGTTTCTTCTCTTTTTATAAGAATTATTTTGCAACTTCAAACAGGTAGATCCAATTTAAATATAGAAGATGAAGAAAACAACATATTTGTTAAAGTTTCTTAAAAATGTTGTTGATGCATCAACTTTATTTTCACACTTTTTGGTTCGATCAAATTAACAATTGGTTTAAAACCAATTGAAAATAGATGTTTTGATAGTTAAAATGCTTTCGAAAACAAGTTTTATAATGTTTCATCTATTAATAGGGAAGCAATAACAAATAAACTATTTTAAACTTTCGTCGTTTTTAAGTACATGTTTTACTGATTTTTCGTCAATAATTTTGTCAAAATTATGAAATTTTTGCTTATATTTTATATACAAATTGAATTCTAATTATATTTGCTTCAATAAATTGATTAAATGACAACAATTAATTTAAGTATTTTGCAGGTAGATGATAGAAAACGTGAATTTGGTTGCATAATATCAACATTCTCAGGTGTTCCATAGGGAAGTGTCCCAGGTCCTATTGTATTCCAAATTCAAATGATTACTTCACAAATGAAAGGTGAATCTCGTACAGGTGTTAACGTAATAATAACAATGAACTCGACAAGATCATCAAACAAGTCTTAAGGTATATAATTTACACTGGATTCAGAACAAAAAAATAAGCTTTATTTCATTGTTTCAGAAGAACTAATAACGATGTAACTTTCTTTAAAGTAAGTTTATAACTGAATCCGAAAGACTCACCATACTTTTTTGTTGAAAACCGTTAGATTCATTGGATCCAGGATATTGGTAGTTCCAGGATGCGAAGCGCACAGTAATGCGCAAAAATTTGGTGTTCTCGAGGATGATGATGATACGCGAAAATTATTTTCGTTTGAAAAGGGGAAAAACCACTCCGGAGAAGAGTTTTGGACGTCCGCCAATGGATCGGTATGCAGTTTGATTTTTTCTTGTTTTGTTTCGTTAAATGAATAAGGAAGTGAACGTATTATTTACCAGTAGCCGAAGAAGTTGGAGATGGCAGAGCAGTCCGCATCTATCGCATGTCCAGAAGACTCCAAATCGCTGGAGTTGAAGATGCCCGTATCCGCGGAATCCGTGGAGGAGGTCGTGCCCTCGCTCACGTCATCCTCATCCTCGATGTCCGCCGCTTCCTCCTTGGTAGAGGGCACAACATCACTACCGCCACCCAGTTTCCCGCTAAGAATGTTCCTCACAAAACTCATAACTCTCCTCTCTTCGGCGCTCTCGCGAAGATGCTCTACTCTGCAAGTCCCGATTCGTCTGCTCAAAAAAACTATCTAGCGTGCGTTTGTGTGCGTATATATATGAATAGATTCGTGTGTGAGTGGATGTATGGGTGAGTGTGTGTGGTGTTACATGAGATGAGATGTGTAGTGTACTGGCAGGGAAGTCGCGCTCGCCACTATATTTGCTATTTGCAGCTAAACAGGAGCCTTGGAACAACGATGCTCTGGTCAGTCGGTTTGCCAGTTCGGGTGCTTCATGAAACACAGCAAAGTTAGTACAATACAAACGCGGACACCATCTGACATTACACTTAGACCACAATTTAATATTAACAACACATTCTTGGGACTTGTTCCGTTTCGCGAATTGCGACTAGAGTCTCGCGTCCAAAAATTGATTCAACCAATCGCTAACTAACATTCTACACTACTCTTTTCACGAAGACTCTAAAAATACGCGAAACAATAAACAACCCAAAATCCCGCCTAGACAGACGATCGGTCGCATCTCCTCGATTCATAAACAACATTACTGTTTACTTCATACAAATTAGATTTCTAGAAAACATAGTTTTAACATAGTTAAGTCGTAGTGTTTATCGCAAAATATTTGTTTATATCAAATTTAGATCATCTTTATATACAATCTGTTTACTTCTTTCAATTTTCGAAACTTACTAGTAAAACTTTCATTACTCAAGAAACCATAGTTTCTCCTCCAATAAGTTAGTTTACTTAAATCAAATTACAATTTACATTTTTTCAAGAAGCTTTACTTCATTATATTTACCCTTATATAATCAGTATAATGATAATATTTTGAAATATTTATACAGTTACATAATCTTAATAAGAATATACAATTTGGGTTCAATTACATTAACAAATGCATAATTGTTAATTAATTAAGTGTAATTATAAGAAACTTTCCTTCCTATATATTCATCAACCATGAGTTTGAGCAAAATATTTGTTTATATCAAATTTAGATCATCTTTATATACAATCTGTTTACTTCTTTCAATTTTAGAAATTTACTTGTAAAACTTTCATTACTCAAGAAACCATAGTTTCTCCTCCAAAAAGTTAGTTTACTTAAATCAAATTACAATTTACATTTTTTCAAGAAGCTTTACTTCATCATATTTACCCTTATATAATCAGTATAATGATAATATTTTGAAATATTTATACAGTTACATAATTTTAACAAGAATATACAAATTGGATTCAATTACGTTAACAAATGCATAATTGTTAATTAATTAAGTCTAATTATAAGAAACTCTCCTTCCTATATATTCATCAACCATGAGTTTGAGCAAAATATTTGTTTATATCGAATTTAGATCATCTTTATATACAATCTGTTTACTTCTTTCAATTTTCGAAACTTACTTGTAAAACTTTCATTACTTAAGAAACCATATTTTCTTCTCCAAAAACTTAGTTTACTTAAATCAAATTACAATTTATATTTGTTTATATCAAATTTATATCATCTTTATATACAATCTGTTTACTTCTTTCAATTTTCGAAACTTACTTGTAAAACTTTAATTACTCAAGAAACCATAGTTTCTTCTCCAAAAAGTTAGTTTACTTAAATTAACTTAAATCAAATTACAATTTACATTTTTTCAAGAAGCTTTACTTCATCATATTTACCCTTATATAAGCAGTATAATATTTTGAAATATAAATATAAATACAAATTGGGTTCAATTACGTTAACAAATGCATAATTGTTAATTAATTAAGTGTAATTATAAGAAACTCTCCTTCCTATATATTCATCAACCATGAGTTTGAGCAAAATATTTGTTTATATCAAATTTAGATCATCTTTATATACAATCTGTTTACTTCTTTCAATTTTCGAAACTTACCTGTAAAACTTTCATTACTCAAGAAACCATAGTTTCTTCTCCAATAAGTTAGTTTACTTAAATCAAATTACAATTTACATTTTTTCAAAAAGCTTTACTTCATCATATTTACCCTTATATAATCAGTATAATATTTTGAAATATTTAAACAGTTACATAATATTAATAAGAATTGGGTTCTATTACATTAACAAATGCATAATTGTTAATTAATTAAGTGTAATTATAAGAAACTCTCTTTCCTATATAATCATCAACCATGAGTTTATTGACTTGTTTTTGAGTATTTTTGAATAACTTATTACTTAAGCAACCTGTTTGTAATCTAAGAAAGTGTCAGTTTTGTTAAATTAATGAATTATTTGTTAATTAAATACTGATAACAGTTGATGCGTTAATTTGGTTGCCTATATACACAGTTAAAATTTGGAGCAGCGCCAAAAGTGCTGAACTATAAACCTTCGATGAATTGCACGCAGATGGCGCTACGTGATTTGAAAAAAAATGTTGCGCCTGATTTTCTGCAATTCAATATACACGCTTTGAAGTTTAATAATTTCACTTGTGCGGCAATTCACAAAGAATGTTTCCAATAAGTTCTTTGTTTGTGAATGAAAGCGTTTCAATTAGTATTTATAAAACAATTTTTGAAATGCTGTCGAGATTTTAATACGCCGCTCAATGGAGGCGCGATAATTCAAATGTTTATTGAAGCAATTGCTAATTATACAACATTATGGTTAATGTTCTTGTATTTCATGTGTGATTACTGAAATAACATGTTAAAATTTAAACAAAGTTGGCTCGTTTCAGACTTGACAACGTCGTGGCGAAGACGATGTTGCGTGTTGTGAAATTTCATTTGTCATCGAGTGTCATGAAAGGTGATAATAAACATTAGTCCTGCTGCTGCTGCTCCTCAGATCCTTCAGGTAAAAACAATCGTCGAAATTCCAACAGGACGGTGACAGGACAGGAGCCATCGCGGATGATCCCCATCGATGCGATGTTATAACGAGACATCTCGACTCGACGACGTATAATGAGGTTGTTTTTCGAGTTCTAATCTTTGCGCAAAACGCAACGAAAAAAAAAAAAAAGAAAATCGAAACAACAAAAAACACATGATTGCGAAAGAGAGCGAGAGAGCGAAACAGACAGAGACAAGGTAGCAGTGTTTGTCAAAAAGTTTCACCATTGTCTCTCAGTTTTCTCCTTGTCTTTACTTTTGTGTTTGCCCAATTTAAATATGGATGAGATGGAGAAGCCGGACCTCCTGTGGGACACTGTCAATGTGAACACGAACATTGCGAAGCTCCTTGCTGGTAGGGAGCTGGGTGAGGACAAGGGTACAGCGATGCAGAAGAAGTTCCACTTCACAACTTCTTTGCTGAAGAGATTTGCCTTGGAGTCGCAGCTGGAGGGGCATCAGGGCTGTGTCAATTGTTTGCAGTGGAGTGCTGATGGCAGGTATCTGGCATCAGGCTCGGATGACACGAATGTCAGGATCTGGGATCCGTTTGCGAACAGGTGCTTGCATGTGATACCCACCAAACATGTTGGTAATATATTCTCGGTTAAAGTAAGCAATAGACAAAACTAAAATTTAGCAAAATCTAATTGGATTTCATTTTATAGTTTGTTGGTGATGGATCTATGGTGGCTACTGGGGCTGGAGACTGTAAAGTCATTGTGCAGAGCATCGAAAATAATGAGAAGCAGGCTATCATGGACTGCATCTGTCATGCTGGAAGGGTCAAAAGGTTGGCCACTGCACCTGATCAGCCTCATTTGTTCTGGACTGCAGCAGAGGATGGCTTAATTCTGTGAGTACATGTTGAAAAGAAATGCAAGCAATGAGTAAATACATTTAACAAAATAAATAACAATTTGACCGCGCTTTATCGCTTGGGTGTTATCGCTGTTTATTTTCATTTCAATAATTAGACTTCTCCGCATATTGATTGCATTAGGATTTCACGTAGACAAGACAAAGGAGACAGTTGATTTTCAATTACTGTTAATTGTAGAATAATTGGTAAAATTATGTACAGTACGAAACGTTAATTGCGTGAATGAAAATTTAGTCTGTGGGGAAATGCAGCAAAAATCAATTACAGTAACTATACAATTACAACGTTACAAATAGCTTTTATTCACTCAATCATTGGGCAATTAGTTGCTGTAATACATATAAATTTAAAACCAATTAGAGTTTATCAGTAAAAGATTACTTTTTTATTGAAATGTTCGTTTGTGTTTTGTAGTGAGTAAAGCTAAATACTATTTGTTGTTAGTGTGTATATTTTTAGATTATACAATTATGTTGTTTATTAAATAGTTTCAGTATTCATAATTTGCTTAATATAAGTCCAATTCGCAAGTAGTTCTGTGATTTATTCATTCAAACAGGAAGGACAAACAAAATCATTGTATTAATTAGTGTGTTTTTATTTTTTTGCAGACAATACGATTTGCGAGAGCAGCACGATTGTCTGAAATGCAACACGGTGTTCGTCAATTTGAGTGAGGTAACCGAACTAAAATGCATCACCGTGAATCCGACGAAGCCGCATCTGATCGCAGCTGGGGCGAACGACAGTTACGTGAGGCTCTACGATCGCAGGATGATCAAAACAACGAAGTGCCAGGTGAGGATGGGCGTTCGCACTTCCGAATTCCAGGATGCGAACTGCGTGCAGTACTACGCACCCGGACACCTAGCTAAAGATAACGGCGGAGAGCACAGCTACAAGTTGGCCGCCACCTACGTAACCTTCGACTCGACGGGGAACGACCTCCTGGTGAACATGGGCGGCGAACATATATACCTCTTCAACATAAACGACAACCGTCACGTCAATCAGATGAGCGCTCCGGACTGCCTGCCGAAACCTAAGAAGCTACCGCCGATCAAACCCTGCTGTCTCACCGTAAAGCTCTCCTAACCGCTTTTTGAGTTATAGTTTCTAAATACCTTGTCCTTTGTAGAAAGACGATAACAAGATGAAGTCCGAGCACGAGTACAATTACAAGATAGTCAATAAGAAGGCGTGCGCCTGCGATTACATATGCCGAGCGAGGCGGCTGTTCTTGAGAAAATGGTGAGGATCTTTTTTTGTTTGTATCTCTGTTTGCATTTATCCTCCTTTCCCAAATCTAGAGACTAAAAAGACACGACTTATATAATTGGCGATCGATTCGTTTTTATAGGATTGGTGATATGTATTTTGCAGCGCGCGACTATCTGCACACCGTGCAGCAGTGGCCCGATTGCGAGATGGCATACTTCGGACTTATCGAGTGTCTGATCAGCCTGAAGTGGCCCGAAGAAGCTACCAATTGGATAAATCACTTCCAGGCGAAGTTCCCGCACAACTCGGAGATCTGCAATTACTTGCAGGTGGCAGTGAACAAGCTGAGCGCTTCGCCGAAGCCGTCTGCCGACGAGTTATCCGAAACCATCGAGGTGATGGAAGTTCTGACGGTGAGCGATGAGGAGAAGGCGATGCGCTTGAACTCGATCGATTTCGAGTCGAGATATATCGGGCACTGCAACACGACGACGGACATCAAGGAGGCCAACTTCATGGGTCGGTTGGAATTAATGCGCGCTTCTGTATTTATATATTATTTACCTTATCATGTTGTCCAGGTGATGATGGTAACTTTATTTGCGGCGGCTCCGATGACGGTATGATCTTCATATGGGATAGGAAGACCAGCAATCTTCTGACTAGATTCGAGGCTGACAAATCGATCGTCAATTGCGTCCAGCCGCATCCCAGCATCAGCTGCATCGCTTCCAGCGGCATTGATCCGGTCGTTAAGATTTGGGCGCCCAAGGATGAGGTAAAATATTAAAACACTTTTATTCCTCTCTTCTTTCATTTCCATATTTTGAAATTGGTTTTCGAGTAATTTGATCAAGATCATTTAGCTTACATTTTCATATTTAATATCTGATGAGGTTTTTTTCTTAAATAATTATAAGATTTTACGTTTCTTTTTTATACGTTGGCACTTAATTACTATATTGTTTTTTTTTCTGTCGAATTCGCAAATACTTCGTTGTTTCCAGGACGACAAGAATTACACCAATCGCTGTAAAGATCCGTGGAGCGCGCTCAGGGCCAACCAGGACCGCATGAAGATCAGCCCGTTCGAGACGATGCTCATGAATATGGGCTACAACAATCCTCACACGCACGTGGGTACCTGCCGCACTAGTTAATCAATCAAATTAATAAGAAACGCGATCCGGTTCGTTTTTCACCACACGCCGTTTCGTTAACAATACATTTTTGTTGTGTTTCCTTGCAGTTTCTTGTAATTGATTCGAAACGATTATTTTTTTTCAAATTATCATTTTGCCCTATTGATTATATTCTATTTTTTTGTTTTGTTTTGTCTGTTTTCGTTACGCAAACAAAAGGAAGGAGTTTAGTTGAGAAAAAATCGATAGTTTGTTGTTAGAGGACCGGAGCTGCGAGAAGAAGACGTTCATTTTTTTTTGTTTTTTGTTTCTGTTTATATATATATATAAATATATATATGTACAATTACGTATATATATAAAATATTGCGACGAGGCGAACGAACACGCAAGAGAGTTTTGCAATAGAAATTTTCTCTTTTTGTTGTTGTTGGTGAGTGTCGAATTCATCAGATTGACAACAACTGTAAGAGATGGATTCGCGATGGACATATTTTTGTACACTGGATGAAGAAACGATTTATGAAAACAAAAAGAATATAATGTAGAAAGTGGAGAATCCTCATTACTTTATTAATTATTTTGATTGTCTGTTTTGTTCCATTTTCTCTTGCCGTTCGATAACTACAACTTTTCTGCTCAAGTACCATATAAATATATTCGTATTTTGATGTATTTCATGTCTCAGATCAAGCGTACATTTTTTTTATTCTGTTAATTTAGTATATTTGTTATTGCGTAAAGAAAAAAAAAAAGAAAAGAACAATCGAGAGTTATTTATACATAATTAATTATTATTACTAATATTGTAATAGAAAAGAAAATATATATATATTAAAATTAATTTATTATACTAGAATTTAGAATAAGATCTTTTTCAATCAATCTACATACGTTTCTTTTTTTTTATATTTCAAACTCCAATTCCATCAAAACTTATAAATTTATAAAGTAAAACCTCTTATAACGAAGTACAAATTACGTTATAAGAGGCTTTACTGTATAATTCATACATAATTATTATTTAAGACATCTCTTGGTCATAGCTGCAATCAAAAAGTTCAAAGGTTTAAAAAAAAACCAGCACAGTTATTTACTAATTTAAGTATACAATTAAAGTAATAATTAATTCGTAATAATGTTTAATTATTCTTTTTAATGATTGTTCTTAAATATAAACAAATATTTCAAATTTTACTATTGCATTAGCAGCACCATCTGGCGTATCGCGAATCAACCAATCGAAATTCGAATTTAAAATTTTATTTTAGGTTAAATTTCTTAGGTTATGTTATTTTCTGTGTTAAATTTGTTAATTGGGAAATGGCTTTAATTAAGGGGAAGCTGTCTGAAATCCCTTCGGACGCGGTGTTGCTTTCGGAGAAGGAAGCTGTGGAGTATCAGGTAAAACTGATAAGGAACTGGAGATACCCGATGGATGTGTAGGTGAATGTCTTTGTTTTTATTTGTATTAATTGGAGTACATTTTTTGTAGGTTTGCATTTAAGTATGGAGCATGTCTTTTAGCTTCGAGCAGCGCTGCAGCTGGTATCTATATGAATAGCCATTACCGGATGAAATTCAAGCTGCTGCATTACGGAAGGGTTTCTTCTTACATGCCCATTGTGCTTCTGCCGGCTGCTCTATCTCTCATTTTACACACCGAGGTAAAATAGCTGATGAAGATTTACAGTATTTTGAATAAATCTTTCCAGGCTGTACTTCCCAAATTAACGTTGGGCGTCTCATGTCCCACTTGCATTGAGTTGAGGGCCGCCTCTTTGCAAGCAGCCTTCGGCGGTATTATGCCACCTGTCCTGGGAGTTCTCTCCTCAGTGGCCGTAAGAAATATCAAATAATGTTTCTTAAGCGAAATTTAAATTTGTTAAAATTTTAGCTAGCCGTTCAATATGGAACTTACAACGTTCCTTATGTCACCAGAGAACCTTTGAAGGTGTTGCAGATCGTAACCAAGATGACCAAACCAATATCGACAACCATATTCGGTATTATATTAGGACAGGCGGCTCTGGCGATGGGCGTGACCTATTTCGAGGCAAAATCCGTGCACACGGTGAACAGGAAATTGGACCAATGGGAACGCGAGTTTGAGCAAAACGGAGATAAAGCACCGCCCCTCTCCCCATAGCACTCTTAACGTAAAAAGGTATTTATACAGTAGAAGTAATTTATTATAAAATAATAAAACGTAATTTATTAATAAAATCGTGTGTTCGGTTTTTTTTTTATCCATACCATCATTTTCTCGCACATTTTGAGATCCTACTACACATCGTAACACCCAATTATAATCTAATATACATATCGTATTTTTTTTTTGTCTACTTTTCTTTTATTTAGTTTTTTTTTTGTTTGTCTTCTAAACTAAAAACATCGAGAGAACAATAAACAATAATATATATGAAATCGTTAAGAGTACACAGTAATATTTAAGGTTGAACAATCAGTATAACTATTTTTTTTGTTTTGGAAATTCGGTTTTCGAAGTCAAAAGGGAAACGTTTGTGTTTTTTGTTGTTGTTGGTTGGAAGTGGATCGTGTCTCAGTGGAAACGTTTCCCTTTTGGGCGTCATGGAAACCGGAAAAGTTGACACAACAAACAATAAAAATTACTTCAAAGGTATTTCGAAATTGCTTTAAAAGTGTAATTATTTTTAACAGTCGTAGGCCGAGTGTCTTCGAAATTACCTTTGAATGATAAAACTAAGACGTTGAATAGTCTAAACATTCATTTCCACTATGAATCTATTGTATTTTGGAAACAATTAATATTACCAGCAGTTACAAAAACACATACACTATAGATAGATAGATATGAACGATGGACAAGGAACAAATTTTGATTTTGCCATGGAATTGTTTCTTTTATTTTTTCTTTTTGATTCGTTTCAATCAAGTCTCTTGTGAAATCGTAAAAAGAAATTACAAATCTAGTAACCTAGTCCATCTCTTTACAAGTTTCACTACGAAGCGTTTTCGATACGCTTCTATTTATTATTATTATTATCCTGAGGAAATCCAGTACTCGTATTGGACAAAAACAAACAAACGAAAATTGTGAAACAAATTTTTACGAAAAACCTCTTTAAGAATATTAAGTTAGTTGGCTTCTCCGGATTCATGCGTATCAATTTTTATTACTTTGCTTAGGGTTGCTGGGATTACATCCAAATCACAGTCGCTTAGAAACGAAAACAATAATAATAATAAAACAATATGGTCTTCGGTCCAATGAAACTGCACACCGTCGCTCCTTTCAGCACAAGAGGGCGGAGCGTTGCCATGACTACGCCCACTTGATTGAATCGCGGACATGCACGAACAGTTCATTCGGGAGACGAAGACCGGGTCCAGCGAATCGAACTAAAAGTTTATTAATAATTCTTTGTTTCGGAAATTAAAATTTTACAGAAAATCGTGGAAATGTCAAAAAAAATAATAACAAAATCAGTTTCGGGATGTACCAGCAACGAGATCACACACAAAAAAATCATTCAATTCGTTCCATCAAACATAATTAACTTTAAATTCATCTCTCTTTTTTTCTTCTTTACCTCTCTCTTTGCATTGAGCATCATAACAACAAATGATTGTATATTATATATATATAATTTTTTTTTGTATTCATTTATAATA